AAATTATTTAAAATATTAAAACATAATAATATTTTATTACACGATGTGTTTTAATTTGTTAAATCATAAACAAAGTTAAATATTTTCATAAGTATACGCGCGTGCATTTGGGTATTCATTTATGCAAATCAAAACTGAAAAAAAAAAAAAAAATATGGACAAATTTATTTACATAAAATTTGGATAAAAAAATGGCTACTTATGAAATGTTATACATCTAGAAAATACTAAAGAAATTTAATCATTGATTTAGTTTTAATGTCCTAAGACATTTCAATAGTATTATTCATACAATTCATTCAATACTTTGTCAAAATTAATAGCCAAGTATAAATTTTAACATCGTATCGTATTTGATTTAGTCAGTAGTAATGTACCTAGCTATTTTCCATAATAAACTGAAGTCGTAATAATATCTTAATTCTATATTCATATTTAAAAAAACATTTTCATCGACATTATTATTAATATTTTTTGATCATTAATGTACCAAGGTGAAATTTGATTTTTTGTGAATACGTATTAGTGTAATTTATTTTAGTTTAGATTTGATGTCATTGTTTGTTTTATAGAAAAAAAATGGTATTTATACTTATGTAATCACATATGTGCTGACAAGGCCGTATCTAGAAATTGTTTTCGGGAGGGATCCAAAACATGTGCATTATAATTTTATTGAATTAAGATTTTAACTTTTGATATTTGGTTAAAAATAAGACAGAAAAAGATTCAATCTTCTTTTATTATTTTTAATATCATATTTTCATATGATATTATGATATAAAATTAAAAACAGTCAATGATTAATTGGAGCTTAAGTCATTTTTGACTGAAAATATTTATGTTAGTATTAAAAATGAATAATTATTTTAAACATTTGTAAAATATTGAAGAAATTTCGGGGGGGTCCAGACACCCTGGACCCCCCCCCCCCAGATACGGCCTTGTGTGCTGACAAAATATTTTGTAAAAAGAAGGGAATATACATGTATATATTATATATATATACATTTAAATATTTATTATTATTATTATTATCTCAAAAAAGATTTCCAGAACAAGAAAGTTATGATGATTTTTTATAAAAATTAATTAATTTTTTTTTTATTATACGAGAATATCGTTTTATTAATATCATTTCGAGAAATGTTAGATATTTATTTAAATCGTTGATATCATTATTTTCTATTTAGATTTGTAAATATTTTCCTTGATATGCTATCTTACATGATGTATACACTATGGAATTTATTTGTTGTGAACTAAATAAAAACAACATATAAGTGAACATAATATATTTTGGTATTTATTATGTTTATGTTTTACTACCTATTCTTTTATTGATAGGATGGTTATTTATTCTTTAGTTAACGCCTTGACCATAAAACAATATACCCGTCGATTTTATATGTCTGTACAATTAATTTACCGTGTTTTTTTTTTATAAAACATATTTTTGAATCATTTACTATATAATAGAAAATAATTAAATACAAGCTAATAGTTCACGAACCTACATATATTTGTATTGTCGGATAAAAATCATTAACAAATATAACTAATTTATATGATGTCATGTTTATTGCTTAGGTGTACGATTATATATTCCTCGAATACTGCACGAACTTGTCACATACACGTTCCCGAAAAACTGTGCAGTCCGTCTGCACAGTTCGACCTCTCCGGCAATCCGGATCGTGTATAGCTTTACAATTCTAACCTATTTCAAAACTAATGGTGTACAAAGTGTAAACAATTCCTAACGCATTAGTGTTATATTTTATGAAGTTATGAATTGTGTGCCAATATAAATTTCTGGAAATTGTTCAAAAATAATAAAGGCACCTATTCGATTTGTTACGAAAATTAGATAACTATTCATAAATACACCATTCACAGTAGAATTACTTCTCTTCTTCACCTTGTCAATACTCCGTGGCTATTAACACGAACCGTGTGTTCGAATTAGAATGTTTAATTGAATTTGAATGTGCATATTAGAATATTACAATTTAAACACAACTAAACGTTTATAATAACATTCACAAAATCATCGTAAGTGTAAATATATTTGAATGGCCATAAATCTATATTTATAATTGTTTGCCTGTGTAACGAATTTTATTAAAAGATCTTTTACACTAAGAATAACTATTTCAAATTAAAAGTACTGTATATAGTATATGTGGATTCATAGTTTAAATATCACTGTACATGTTTTAATGTAACATCAAGTTATAATTGTATGAAATCAAAATGCATAAAAATTATCCGACGACATAATAAATATATTGATTGTTTTCTCATAATTACTGATATAATTGATACAACTGATACCAATGAGAACTAACAATAACTTATTGACAACTTTCATACAACTGGAAAATAAAAACTAATAAATATGGAAATAAAAATGCCTTACTAATTGACAAATAAATTAAATCCACACATTTTTTTAAATTATTCATACGTGTTATTAAAAGAAAAACAATATTGTACTCGTATTAAACATATATTACTCGTTGGGTGTGTACATTTAACTGTAATAATTTATACTAAACTTTGTGATTTATCTTTTAAATGATTTATGTATGATGCACTTTTTCGATTCTACACGTGACTTAGTTGCTCGACAACATTGTTAAAAAAAATTACTAAGATTTTTTGTTAGTCATTTTGTTATTAACTATAAAATAATTTTAATTTTTATCAATTGTTTCTCAGGTATAACAATATTGACCAGCTTTATTTCATTATTATCACACTAAACCGATGGAATTGCTTATCTAATCGTATTATGTTTTGGAATTATTTTATTAATGTTTAATTTAAATAGGACATAATTAATGGGACATCTCATTCATAGTTTTTAATGAAATCAGTGTAGTTATGGTGATATGACATACTATTTTTCATATGGCTGTATTCGATGCATACTCGTACTTTAATGCATAATCTTAATATTCTTAAAAATATTGTTTTTTTTTTTTTTTTAATTTTTTGGACTAATATTGTAAATATGTTAATGATAACTTGAAATAAAGTAATATCTGATAATAAATAAATATTAGAGTGATGATTAATTCAATTAGTTAATTGTAGTAACATATTACATTTTAAAATTTTTAATATTTTTTTATTATAAAATTTCAAATTATATTTAAGTTAAATATGTTGAGAACATTGATATAAAATGTTATTTTTACACATTGGTAGGTTCTCTTGAGGGCGGGTTTTTTTTATGATATAGTGGCATAGTTTTAAAATGTACTTTTTTCTGGTCGCCATAAGTTTAGCGCATTATCTTAATGTTGTATTAATTTTATAATAATTCATAATGATACTGAGTATTGAAAATGTCATTCACCTACTAAATTATTATATTATTTTTTTCAGTCATGTGCAAGAATTCTTGTACAAATAACATATTACCAACTAATATACTAGTAATTTTAAGTAACATGCATCAATTTTATCACAAATTAATAAAATTAATTTATAACTAAACAATTTAATGCTTTGTATAGACTTGGGGGAACATTGCTCCTTGGTTTTTCCGTGTCTATTATACACTTATACATAAAATAATATAGTTATTTATTTATATTAAATATATGTTAAATTTATTTTGTTAGCCAATATTATTCCTCATAGACAAAATTACCATGGGAGAACGAATTCTGGGAATCATAGATACTAATTATAAACCTATCGATAACGATCCCTGAGAGGCACCAATCACACGTCCCCCCCTGGATTTTTGACGATGGACGCCCTTATATATGGATACTTGTAAATCAAAAGGCGCTTATGAAACACGTTAGAATTTAAGTAAATTCAATATTTCGAATTCATTGCTTATCTAGAAACGTCAGTCTTAGTGTGATGTATTTTTAAAATATTTTCATTCAAATTAAATTTGAATAGTATTAAAAACGCAAATAATAGAGTTCTAATTTTGAATAAACTAGTTGTATATTTGATACATAAAAACATCACTATGATTTTAGATTTACGTTTAGTAAATTGTATTATACATTCATTTAAAATGTAGTCTGCTAATAAATAAATAACCAACCATTACTAGAAGATTTAATCCACTGAATTAATTATAAGTATTAACATAAAAAGACTACCTTGTCTTTCACCTTGTGAAAATAATAATTAAATTCGCTGATGTTTCACCTTCTATTTCGGAAATAATAAGAAAGGCATGCCTATTCTTTATTGTATTAATTTAATTTCATCTATTTCATTAATACAAATTGATCCACCGATTAAATATAAGACCATAAAAGTAATGTTTTTATAGTTTCTACATTGTAACAATTTCTGTTCACGTAGTGAAATACGTGTAAAAATGTTACGATAGTGAATGCGTAAATAATATGTGTGAGTAAGTTACTGCGAATAGGTTTATGACATCATCAACTGGGTTTTCCTCTTAATAGTCCATAAACTTAAACAATAAATCGTTTGTATGTATATTGATTAACTTACCATTTTATAATTTATTCTTTTAAGACTCTAAACGTAGTTATTATAAGAAAGGATTGGCATTTAGGATATAAAAATATTAAAATCACATAAATATCAAAATTCAATATTTATTATGAGGTTACCAAAAATGTATTATACATTTATGACGGCTACATACTTTAATGTAATATAATTAGTTAAATGTTTAATATTAAAACAAAAAATATAATATATGATATAATAGATAACATATGAAGTGTTTACAAAAACTTTTTAACAAAGATTATTTTTGAAATTAACTTTTTAAATAAATAATTAATTTTAGTTACCTGCTAAATATTTATACATACTTTTTGAATAGTAATATAATTTAATAATCTATAAAACGTATTTATTCAGTGATTATCATGAGCCAATATCATTATTATTACAAAAGCCTTATAGTTATAAAATTAATTATTTTATTAATGTATATTTTGTTATGATGGAGTTATTAATTGTAGATTAACTTGACTTAATAAAAAGTTTGGTAAAATTAAATAAATTATTTTCTTTAGTACCTAATGGAAATTAAAACATCCATAGCCACGTATATTAATCGTTACTCGATGCTCTTTACGACTTGAACAACTTAAAATTGTGAAATTAATATGAATTTTAATCACGTTGATATGAATGTGACACCGCATGACTTGGTTACTGGAGCTCATATTACTCATATCTACATAAATCAATCTTCAGACACTTTAAATGGAAGATCATTGGCTGATAAATTACTTATAAACAGACCTGTTGAATTTGGTACAATCCTGTCATCACTTGCGTCAGAAGAACCACCATCATTATATTCTGGCAGTATCACTGATGGTAAAGATGGAGTAGAGGAAATCTTAAGTAATTCAACTCCGTACGAATACGCTAAAATTATTCAATCATCACAAATTACACTGGATAATAATGGAACATATTCATGTCACATATGTATAAATGATAATGATACGCTAAACTCGATCTGCGAGACTATAAATACTAAAAGCACTCATACAGAATGCTACGCCGATACTAATCGATCATATCCCTCATCAGATGACGACGAAACTTATTGTAGATATTCTGTTACCGATATTGATGAACTATCAGATAATGTTTTAAATGATCGCCAACCTATTTCTAAAAGGATACCAAGGAATAGTTCTAGTTATGATTATTATTCCAGTGTTGATTCTGTAGTGATTGATTCTGAAGCTGATGGCATTGTAACTTTTCTGGGCAAGAGTAATGATAAAGTACGTATAATAATATCAAATGGCTGTCTATTATTGGACAATAGACTGCAACATTGACCCTAATATTAAAACCAGTGATTTAAACTGTTCTATAAAATGTCCTCGACTTTACTTTATAATGTATATTTTAGAAAGAATGCGACAGTTTAAAATATGTAATGAGAAAAATTAATTTTTAATTTTATTTCCAGGCAGAAGCTCGTTTGGCTGCAAGGCGACAAGCTCGTGCTGAAGCAAGAGAAATTCGTATGCGAGAAATTGAACGACAGCAAAAAGAAGCCGAAGAAAATGCAGATAAAGCTTTTGATATGTATGCAGCAGGCAAGTACAAATAACATATTGTGTAAGATAAATTTAGACAGGAATACAGGCTATTTTAAAAAATCAATATAAATAAATAATGAATTTTTGATAAATATATAAAACTAAGTAGCTAATGTTTTATTAAACTACAGAATAAATTATATAAGCTAGGCTTAACTTAGTGTGTTCATTAGTAAAATAATTGTATTCTAGATAATATTATGTTTTTGTCCACCTAACTCGAATTATTAGACTTGATTTTGATAATCATGATATCTAAATAATAATTTAAAAACGTATTTACCTTTATATTTATTATAGTTTAAAATGTACAATTATTAGTTGCATTAACTAATTCTGTAAATGTTGACACTTCTAAATTTATATTATTCCAATAAAAAAAAATGTATCTAGTTATTTTGTAAAATTATTATTTTTATATTAAACATTAGTGAGATCTATGAAGAAACTTATTAGCTAATAATTTTTCAATCTTCGGTGATAAATTTGATATTGATAATAACATAAAATTTAATTTTAATTTTATAAGGCGTAGTTAACAAACGGCAATATTTATTTTTTACGTAGGGGTTAGAATAGAAAAGATTTTTATTTAATATATGTTGAGCCAAATCTGATTGAAATCTATTCTTGCCGGACTGATATATGACGACCATATTTATAAACATAAAAATAATATCAAACTATGTAAATAATCATTTTTATTTGTAATCACATAAGTAGCTATTAAATAGGTACTACTTTTCAATTGTTTGGTTTATGATAAATTTAAGTATGGGTTTAAATATTTATTTGGCGATGTATATTTATGTTACGTAATTTTTTTTTTATCTTTTAGATGGGCCAAGTATAAATCGAGTATCCCGAGTAGCTACAAGTACTGCCAGTCCACGAGCAGCTAGTTCTATACTAAATACGAATAATTACCAATCTAGTCGGCGTAATTCGGTTGATTCTCTTGATGAAACTACTCCTAATTTTCGTGATTTTAGAGTATTGTTTAAACATTTAAAATTAGTTAAACAGTTTCATTAATAAGTATTAATAAATTGTTGTATAGATGGAATTAAAAGATCTAGAAGAAAAGTTCAGGAAAGCTATGGTACAAAATGCTCAACTTGACAATGAAAAAGCCGCTGTAACCTACATGGTAGAGCTGTATAAAGACAAGTACACTGATATTGAAGAAGAACTTATGCACGTAAAAGTAAACAACATTTTATGATTTATATAAAAATTTAATTTTATTCATATATAATCTACTTATGTGTAGAGAGAACACAAAGAAAGCGGCAGGGAAAATGAAAAGTTAAAACGTTTATTGGCAACTCAAAAACTAGAATGTACTGCACTTAAACGAGAGTTAGAAGATCGTGATAAACTCATCGAGGTAAGTTATTATAGCATTACGGCGTGTCCATCGTAAATCCAGGAATTGTAGTAAACGCAGTGTGATGCGATTAAAATATTAAACAAAACCATAGATATGATTTGTTAAGTCCAAACTAGACGACGAATCCAATACGATAAATAACACATATTCGGCCATATTCGTCTCACAAATTTAAAAACAATCAATTTTGTGAACGTAAATGTCATTATACGCCACGTTTTATCGATGAATGCATAAATCATTTAAATATTAAATTATAATTTAGTTGTATTATTTAACCATTTTAAAATGGAATTTTTTATATCGGAAGTGCAAAAAAACATTTTATGAAATAAATGACACAAAAAATTTAGAGATAGTTGGTTTTTTTAAAAGGAAACATTTGTGTAAAACAAATATTGTTTGGTACATATGTTCTTTGCAAGTATAATTTTTTGCTGAATACTAAAAGACATTTTAAAGAAAAAATGTACTCTCTCGAATCATTCTTAATCACGTTTACAATTTTTTTGAGCATTGAAGATAGGTTAAAGAAAAAAGATTAAATTCGTAAGTTTCTACGCATCGGCCGTAAATACACTAAACACATGCGATTAATGTAATGTAATGCGAAATCGTTCGCATCGGACACAATTCGAATTTACATTGGACACTTCATAAATCTATTTCATTTAGAATTTATAGTAGACATTTCCTTGCTTAAAATGTATAAAATGTATTGGTTTTAGTTTGTAGAAAAATTATTCTTTTAGTATAATAATATAAAAGTAAATTGTTAACATTATCTAGCAGTGGCTAAAATGCTTTTTAAAAAAGTTCAGATGGAAATTTATTTCCCTCTAATTAATAGTCTACATCTGTTCCATGCGTATTACCTGCTGCTCATATACAACAATGGCATAAAATATATGTTTTATCAATTGTTGATAAATGTTTTTTAGCTTATAAGCGTTAAGAGTATTTATTTAAAATGTTTTATTTATTTTTATTATATTAGGAAAAAGGACTTGTAATTATAAGCACAGAACAAGATGATTGGAATGAAAGTAGTGACCAAAGTAATAATAAAATAAAACGTGCCTTAGTTTCTGTTGAAAATGCTCAATTGTTGCAAGACGCAGGAGAGGGTTGTTTAGGTAAGCACAACTTAAAAAAAAAATTTTATGTTAATTTAATTTAATTAATTTAATTTAAATTTTGTATAACTTTTTAATTAAGTAAAGAGTATACTGCAGTATTAAACATATTTAAGAAAACGGAACATAATGATTTTGATTAATAAAACCAAAGTAAATATTTTTTAATTGCTTAGATGTGCGACTCAAAAAGTTTACTGAAGAACGTAATAGTTATTTAGAAGAGATCAATCAACTCAAATTAGAGTTGCAGGAAGCCAAACGCCATAGTGATAGCCATTACAACGGTACAGATTCAGACGATTTGGAAGATGCCCAAAGTAAGATTGGCTTGCTGTCAACTGCAATTTAAATTGTGCCAATAAATTAATTCGATAATTTATTTTTTCATTTATAGAAGAAACAAACAAAGTTCTTGGGGATTATAAATTTAAGTGGCAAAAGGCTGAACAAGACATTTCTACATTGCAAGCAAATGTAAATTAATAAAAATAAATTTTATTTAATTATTTATATATTTATTCATTATTTATAAGCTAATATTTTACGATGTAAATGTATATATTTTATTTTATAAAAATACAGGTAGCCAGACTTGATAGTCAAGTTGTTAGATATAAAACAGCTTCTGAAGCAGCTGAAAAAGCTGAAGATGAACTAAAGTTGGAAAAAAGAAAACTTCAGCGAGAGGTATTTAATTGCCTATATTTATTATTTTTAAAATTTGACAGAATTTATAAAATTTATCATCTACTAAAGAATACCTAACCAAGGATATTATATTTTTCAAGAACACATATTATGTAAGTTCTTGAGGTGTTAGAAATTATCGTAATCATCGTTACCTGATGTCCTGCGCAACAACAAACTATATTTTTTGTATGTTTTAAAAATGATTTTATTGAGGACGACAATTTAAAAGCAATACCTCCCCTGTCTACTTTTTTTCAAAATCGATGAGTTTTGTCTGAAAAGAAAAAGTTTCTTTAATTAAAACTTGAAGAAAATACTTTTAAACAAAATCTTACTTTACGAAACACGATTGTTAAAAATGCCATACCTCCCCTGTCTAATTATGACTTAAACGCAAGTCCGTTAGAGGGGGGGGAGGGCAACAGAATAATTTTGCCCCTGGCTCCATTGTTGGAATATTTTTTAGGTAGCCCCCATAAAGACACTGAGCAATTTTATATGCTGCGTGTCAGCGATTAAAGTCGTGAGCGTGTAATGACTTGTCCGTTTACATTGAGCGATTAAATTATAAATAATATGAATAATATTCAATTTTATTTTATAAGTATTTGTAAGGTTTTTCATGTACTGTATTACATTCTATTATGTAAGTATGTAATGTAGTACATGAATTTAAATGAGCTTGTTTGGTAAAATACGTTTTCAAGAATTTTGTTATTCTCAGTGAATATTTTGTTTATCATATTTTATTATTATGGTCGAAGGGCCCCTAAATAAATTTTCCCCTGGCCTCGAAAAACCTTGGGACGGCCCTACTTCAATGCTATGATAGTTGGTAAACAGAACGGCGCTCTCAATTTGCGTGATAATAACTTTTTAATTTTTCTCTGATGTATTATTTATAGGTTAACTATAAATTTATTTTATTTTATTTTTAAAAAAAAAGTAATTTTTTAAATGATTGTTATTTCAGCTTCGAGAAGCTCAAGCAAAAATTGAAGAATTGGAAACATCTAATATGCATTTGTTAAAACGCTTTGATAAATTAAAGAATGCCAAGTCTAGTTTATTGAAAGACCTGTAATGTCTATTACTCTTATCGAACAAAGTTGCAAGCAGGTACATTATACTTATAGAATTAATAATAAATTTACTTATATTGTTTTTGATTTATTGGCAGGATATAATCTATTGTGCAACAATATCTACACTCATCAGTATCACGTAAATTATGATGGGAAGACGTGCAAATTACAACATTGGAAATTAAATGATTAAAATTAATTTAGTGTATATTTTTGAATAATTACATTTCTTTTAATACATACCTATTTAATAACAAAATAATAATTATAGCAAAATATAATTACCATGTATAAATTGTTTTATTTTAATAGAAATTACATTATTATAATAATAACATTTTTTTTTATTGAGTATACTTAACCAGTTTTTAATTTTATTTTTTAAAATTATTTTCTTTATATAGTTATAGCTGCTTCTACGACTCAAAGTCGATAAGGTTAATGATTATTACTTTATTTTTTTGTCAAATATTCTAAAATCCTTTCTAAGCATTTTTAAATTCTGCTTTAGTTAAATAAGAAGCCTGGTTGTAGTCAGAACTCAAATGAGGCTGTTGATACAATATTTTTACTGGTATTATTTTTAAACTTTATAATATACCACTGAAAAAAGTGTAATTCATCCTTTTCCTATGCTTAGAGATACCGCTTATAACATAAACATTTACACCACATCATTTAAACAAACCATATTGTTTATATTCTGATTTATATATATATATATATATATAATTAAGATATAAGAATACTTTCATACATTATATAATATAATTAAATCATAGTTACCTACAAATATACTATATACGTCTAAAAAGTGTTGTAGGAATTCATAATCCAACCAATTTTATCTTCTTTACCTCTCTCCAGACATATAATAGTAGTCTAATTCTTCCTACAACTTGACCATTATCTTCTTCCTTAGCATTCTTCCACCATCTTCTTAATTTTACCCCCTTTTGCACTTTACCAACTCTTGCTTCCCTATCTATAGAATATCCCTTTATATTCATTTTCGGTACCTCAATTACCATATAACTGCCACTAGTCTTCTTCTTAATTTTCAAACATTCATGTAATACTCTATCATCTCTTTCGTTTTAGTTTTGGCTTCCTATTATAAACAATAAATTAATTATTCTTTTAACCTCAACTCTGTTTTAACCGAACAATATAATCAATGTACTATAATGTTTTATAAATATGGGAAATATAATATTTAAAGATTTAGCTATCTGTTTTAATTTATTTGCATATTATGTGTGTATGCATGAATATTAAACTAAATACTTAAATCCAAACAGTGTTGTGCATACAAATATGAATTGCGGTCATTATATATATATATATATATTATACTATGGATTTGTCACAAAATAATATCAATTCTAATAATACTTTTTAGACATATGTATCTATAGATACCTGTGATTCAGTTATATTTTATTATAATTAGATAATCAAATTAAAACAATAAATCAGAAGAGTTTAATATTAAAACCAAAACTAAACATAATTACAATTCACAAGGAATGTTAAATTAACCCACAAAAATTGTATTACCTATAAGGTACCTTAGTTAAAGTGTTGCATAGCATTTGAAAAAACAAAAAATAAAATAATCATTTTTAGTACATTTTGTATTGGACATCCAATACATTTGTTAAAAATGTACTTAATCATCAAACTGTTTAGCTCTTCTAAATTAATGTGATACAAATATTCTGTTATTTTAAAAATAATTGAAATCACTTTGACCATAGGTTAAGTATATTTAATGTAGTAATAATAATAGTAATAGTAATATATATATATATATATATATATATTTTGTATATGTATATTTAATCTATTATTTGGCACTGTTAAGGCATCAAATTTTAAATATAAACATTTTATTTTTATTAATTTTATGTTTAATATCTATAATTTTGAAAAGGTCTGAAAACATATCAGATTTATCTAATTGGTTAACAAGAATGTATTTATTTATTTTTGTATGTCAATATAAACCCACCAGATACAAAATTTTTTTTATTAAATTCAGAAAATTGTCTAGTATTTTTTAAAAGTTTAGTGTCCAAATTTGGTTTAAATAAGAGATACAATAGGTTTTTTATAAGAAAAACCTAAATATCCCATGATGTCGAAATTCAGAACAACATGGGGCAAGCAGAAAAATAAAAAAATACCTTAGAAGGAATAATTTGTATGGTACAAATGCAACAAAGATCAATAAATCAAACCTCAAATAAAAAAAATGTTATATTGAAAATATATCAAGATTAATTAATCTTAAAGATATTTTCAATAGAATTTCAAAACTGCACCAATTTCGGCCATTTGACGGTACAATACAAAAATAATTTGTTAAATGTAACTGTATAATCTACTCTTCAGTCACTCCGTGAATTTTGAGGAATCCTGTTCTGTAATTGTTCTGTAAATATACTGAAAATTAAGCTATTTCCATTGTTTTAAAAAAAAATACGTATCAGAATTTGGTAAGAATGTGTTTTTATGTGATGTACATTCGTAAATTGTGCGAAACAAAAGTAAATGTTGAACAGAGAAATGCTATACAATTACGCACCATATTGAAACTGGAAAGCATAAACGAGCGATTAATCGACAAAATATCACTACAATGTCTACAGCGCAACTTCAACTAATAATATTTACAAAAAAATCATTATTTTCTAAAGACTTGTGTAAAGCCATGTTATCTGTAAATATTCTGTTGCATAAAATCAATAATCCAGAATTTCGTATATTTTCGGAAACTTATACGAATAGACATTATGAATGAATCTAAGTTATGCAAAAATTACTTAAATAAAGTGTAAATATAAGCTATATGAATGTAAACGTAAAAATTTGTACTTAAAATATGTAAAAATACGTAAAATAAAATATAGTTAATTTCAATGGAAATCTCTTAAAACGAATTTATCACTTATCTAAATTAATTTATCAAATCACAGTAAGAATATGTATTTGCATATAAATCCGAGCCCTAATGATTACCGTTATCAAGGCATATTATATTCTTCCCAAATAACATTATTTTTATCACATGAACATTTTCCTTAGTCAGAATAGTTAGAGACTCGACCGTTTGAGGTTTCTTTAAATCATTTTATCACTTAAAAAAATATACTAGCCACAAAATACGTAAATGATAATAATGTTTTTTTTCAATTTTTGTTGTGTTGACGAGAACGGTTAGTTGTGCTTCCTGTTAATAAATATTTAAATTACGCAATAATTATAAAAGTATCTCACATATAATTATATTTTTAATGATGCGTATTTTTCAGGAGAATAATTAAATTAAGTGATTTTATTAATATGCATTCCACTGTCTAAGTTAATGAAAAGAAATAATTTAAATTCATCCACAAAACACTTGTCATTACGTTTTTTGTAACAGTCAAATATTGTAGTTGTAGTAACAGTATAACAGTACTGGTATTTGATTATAAATTAATTGTGTTAAGGTTAGTAACTTTCAGTGTGTTAGTATTGTAATATTATTGAAACCACTGATATTTGTTTTCAAAACAATATAACCCTCATATTCGGCAAGCAACATTTTATTCAAATTCAAATTGACCATGATTGTGTGGTCCCTAATGTTCATTTTATTAGTAATCAATTGGACATAAATTATGTTTCATCAAAATAATTTTTTTTTTATCTATGTAGGTAACTAATAAACAATGGACGCATGTTTGGCTGTTGATCACGAGGTTGATAAAGTTTTGTCAAAATTTGGAGACATACGTCGAAGCTATAGTGATGGATTACAGGATTTAATTGAAAATTTGGAAAATATTAAAAATAATTTGCAGACAAATAATACAAATGATGGTAAGTTTTTAATCTTGAGTAATATTTTAACATAAGTAACTTTAAGTAACTATAAAATTTTATGGATAATCATACTCAAGTACATTAACTTTCATTTCTATTTTTATGAAATTGATATTATTAAATTTCTCAAAGACAGCGTAATTGCAAATAATTAGTTTTATTTCATTACGCTATTCTATGTCATTCAATATTTTTGAAAAATCTATCAAAAAATGTTTTATAAAATGGATTAACCCGAAAAATTCTCAAGTTCATGTAACTAATTTTCTTAAACGTAAAAATTATAAAGGTTTTTTTAAATACATAATTTACCAACAAAAATATGCTATCAGATGCCAGTTCAAAACTCATTTGATTCTATAATTGTTTTGATCTTTTATAATATAATTTTTTATCAGACAAAAATACATTATTGTCATTGATTCTCTAAAATGTCTTAATAATACCGATATCAATATTAACAAAATTATTTTACACAGTTTTTCTCTGTCAAATATATAGTTTATAGTAGCTGTTCCCAAACTAGAACCATGTCTCCTCAGGAGGCACAAGGAAAATATTTATATTGTATATTACATTACCATATATTTACTTTTAGGTTGACAATAATTTATTTATACTTAAATAATAAAAATGTTTTTTTATTCATTCATTGAAGGCGCAGTTAAATTATTTCTTTTTAGTATGTGTGATCCAAAAAAATTTGGGAACAGCTGTTCTATATTATTATCTTTAATGTTTAAAATTCTTGATCTCTAATAAGAATTAATACTTACAGTGATTTAACTACAAAAAATCAAATATTGTGTTCAAATATTTTCAGTGTTTATGTAGTATGTTATATAATAAATATTTTGTTTGTTTTACATTATTTATCACTCAAATAAATAATACTTTTTAGACAGCTAAATATAATTATAAATATATGTATTTTATTTCCATGTATTATTGTTTCTAACTTTTTTGATTGTTAGTCTATAAAAATGAAATCTAGCATTGACTAAATTTGTTTTTTTTTTATGGTTCATAACCTAACATTTTTCAATATCTACAATAAATACCTATAGTATATTTTAAGTAATTTTTTTTTTTTTTTATATTTTGTTTTTCAGAAATTTGTAAACCATCAATGGCTCAAATAAAAGAAATTATTGATAAATCAAAAGATGAAACACAAAAATTAGCTGTTGAACACAGAGAATTACATAGTACTGTATCTAAAGTTGGAAAAGCAATTGATAGAGTATGTTTTAATTTGATATAAACTGTCACTAATTTGTATAATTTAAATAAGGTTTTTATTAATTTTAAATATTACAATAAATTTAAGTATATTATAATTTACTTGAATACATTTTAATACTTATGTATTTATAATTATACTGTAGTCATTCAAAAACTTTATACAATTTGATTTTCTTTTTTAAACAGAATTTTGTGGCTGACTTTGCTGCAACATGTAAAGACGATATTTTTTCTAAACCAGAAAATACTGTTTATCTTAACCAAATTGTTTGTCAACATTTCTATAGACAAGGCATGAATGATATTGCTGAAGAGCTTCTAAAGGTTAGTTTATTTGTTTAAAAATGTAATTTATATTATTACAAATAATATTAACTTTGTACAGTAAGGTTTATTTTAGTCGTTCTTTAATAATTTTTCTAAAATTTAATAAAAAATTTTATTTAAAATATTTCTTATAGATTTAAGTCAAAAATATATTTGTAACTATCAAGTATTAATAATTAAACTTTTTTTTTATCTTTAAACACTATTAAATTGTTTAAAATTACTTTTCTCTTTTTAGGAGTCTGGAACAATAATGGAACCAAATTTCAAAGAACCATTTATTAAATTGAACTCTATAAAAGAATCATTACAAAAAAAAGATATTTATCCAGCTTTAGAATGGGCAAAAGAAAATCGTACAGTATTAGAAAATCAGGTAAATATTATCTTCTATTGAATCTATTTTATATTTTAAGTTCTTAATTTTAGATTAGAAAATTATGTAATCATAATTTAATTTTATATAATTTCATTATTTGAAAAACTTTTTTTCTTTGTCTAGTATTTAAATTTTAAACTAGTATTGATTGTAGAAACTATTAATCTTAACAATTTATTATTATTTTCTAATTCCATTATAGATGTATCCACCATATCCCTTGATTAAAAGATTTTCAACAGCTTCCCAATTACCTATAAGAATTCCATATCATATCAAACGAAACAAATTTTCTGGAGGTATAATGAAACCTAGGCCAAAAACAAAAAAAATCAAAAGATTAGAATTGGCAAAAAAAATTTTGCAACAGTTTTATACTGTGAGTAAAAAAAAAAAAATAATTTAATTACTTACATTAGTTTAAGTAATTTTTAGTTACAGCATTATTACTCTTAGTATTTTAATGCTAATTTTAATACATAATATATGAATACATATAAAAAGTATACATGTTATGTATTTAATACAGTTATATTTTTATATGAATCATTCTTAATTCTTAAAATCAATTAATATTTTTAATTAATTTTCGTTATAGAGCTCTTCTCTTGAGTTTAAGTTACATCAACTTGCATTTTTAACAATTATTCAAAAAGGAGTTGAACATCAAACGGAAGCTGTTGCATATGCTCGAGCTAATTTTAGTCAATTTGCTGACAAATATGAAAAAGGTTTTTTAAAAACTGTAATTTTATTTTAAATGTCATTGGCCTAAATATTTTTGTCATCATTATTAGAAATTCAAACTATGATGGGTATGCTGTTGTTTGTGCCACAAGGAATCAATAAATCTCCTTATTCAGATATTATTAAAGATAATTTGTGGGACGAGGTCAATGAATTGTTCACTAGGGATGCTTGTACACTACTTGGTATAAGTTTTGATAGCTTACTGAATGTCAGGTATTTAATAGTTTAAATAAATTATAATAGCTATAATAAAAAGTATTAATTAGATCTTAAATAAATATTTTGAATATATATTATCAAATCTACATTAATTTAAGTATGTTGATTGAAGAAAATTTGGTCTTTCGTAGTAAGATTATTTTAAATTAAGATAAAATATTTTGGTACTTAGTTTTGATTAATATTCTAAATGAAAATAAAATATTCATAAATAAATACATTTTATACTAAAGATTATATAATTATTAATTTCATCAATTATAGTATAAAAAAAACTATTTTATTATTATATTATTTAGTAATCAATTAATACGATGTGACTTAAATATAATTTTTTAAGTCTAAATTTGTATACCATATAATTTTACAAATTCAAAAATAATTATATTTTTAAAACTGGAACTAAAATCCATTTTAAATAATAATGTTATATCAATCATTACTTATTAAATACATTGTATTTGTTTAGTATCAATGCTGGTTGTGCTGCCTTGCCAGCTCTTTTAAATATTAAACATGTCATGACACAACGTAAAGTAGGTGATATCTGGAAAGGAAAAGATGAATTACCAGTAAGCAATTGTGTTTACAAAAGGTTACTTTATATATCAACTACAATAATTGTGTTACTTTATTTTTAGATAGAAATTGATTTAGACACTGACCATCGATATCATTCAATGTTTGCTTGTCCTATTCTTAGACAACAAAGTTCAGATTCCAATCCACCAATGAGACTTATTTGTGGGCATATTATATCAAAAGATGCTTTGCAAAAGTTAGGAACTACCAATAAGTAAGTTGAAACAAATAAAAAATAGTTACTGTGTTAATTATTTTAATTATTTATAGATTGAAGTGTCCTTATTGTCCAATGGAACAAAGTTCATCTGAAGCTAAACATATTTGTTTCTAATGGTTTCAGCTGATTTAAAATCGTAAAGTGTTTGGTATTGTTATCTTTAATTAAAAAATCCGTGATAACAATTTAACTTAAAAAAATAAATATGTAGTTTTGTGACTTTTTACTATTAGACATTAGTAAACAAAAATATTAGAAGTGTAAGACTACTCAATTCAATTCAATTTTAAATGGTTATTCTAACTATGTAAACCAATAATTTTCTTTTTAATAATATATTGACATATAATTGTTACTATTTTGATACATCAATTTGGTCAATTTATGTATTTTTTTTTATTTATTTATTTTATGTTAATTAGCTTAAGAAGAAAATTCATAATAACTGCCTTAAAGTTAATTTATTATTTTCTGTACAATTTATAAGTTATAGCCTTCCATCAACTTAATAATTCTAATTATTCTTTTTTTTATTAATTTTTATAATCAATTTTACATTTTTTTTTCCACATTTCAATTTAAGTGAATTTATTTTAAAATTATAATCAAAAACATTGTTACAGAATGAATTAACGTTTGAATATTCATTAAATATTTATTCAATCAATAATAAATCATTTTATACCAGTAAAAATGTGATTGTAGTATTTTTTTTTTCAATTGAAATCAAGTTTTACAAGGGTTACCTAGTAAATGTTAGAGAATCAATGAGGAACTATTTTACTGTTATATATTTTTAAGTAGAAATTTGGTACAACTACCCCTTTGTTATGTTGTGTGTAACTTTAATATTTTTAGTAAAAATAACATATTACTACCCAATGCATCAAAGATAAACGAATATCATTAAATATTTTTCATTTACCTATATTATTCCACTATCGGCTTATTTTAGTCAGCAATTTTATTTTAGAATATCTTATAGTGTTGGTTGGTAAGTTTTTATAAATTAATTTTGGTTGTATTTGGGCTAATCAAAACTGTTCCTCTGTCTTGCTTGTATAAAAAAATTAACACATATTATACTCAAATAATAATATTGTATTCCAAAATATGTTAATGAGGTATTATAGATAAATATTGAGAATTATTCCATAAGTAAAGTCTCTTAATATTTTTCTTATACTAGTTGTCAAGCTTGTAAATAAAAAATAAAAATGATTATCATTCAAATAATATATATTACGTAAGACTAGATAAAACAATGTATGATAATACTTAAATACTTAGTTTATATTATCTTAATAATAGTGTGTATGATAATGAATATATTCAATGAGTTTTATAATAGAAGAACTTAAATTAGGCAGTGCGCAAAGAAAGGTAAAGTCAGTACAAGTCTTTTTTAGTTAACATGTAATTATTCCGGACAATATTATTCGATCAATTTTTTTGCTTTAAAATACTGTCTAAGATATATTACTTGCCAAGTAGCAAATAATATTAAACAAGTCATGCTGAACAAACTAAAATACAAAAGTCTCTTGTTTGTAGATTCTGAAACAAATATTTTTAACAGTCAATATATTTTACTTATGGGTATTATTATTGATTATAAATACTAGTATTTATAATAAATGGTATTATTAATAAATTAATACCATTTGTGTTACGCATTTCATCTGCTCGTTTCTTCATATCATCAAATTCAAGTACAATTGCTTGTGAAAAATCTTCTAGACGTTTCAGATTCAATTCAAGGGGCTTAAGTTTATACATTTCACCAATCTGGAAATATGGATAAAATAATTATGATCAAATATAAATTTTATTTTTAAATTTATCATTAAATTCAAAATCTTTACTATTTTTATTTCATTACATATAAAAAACAGTAAATTGAGTCAATGTGTATAATTTTTAAAATGAATAACCTAAAAAGAAAATAATATTTTTTGAAAAACAACATATTTGTAACAGAATTTCAGTTCTAACAAAAGAACAGCTGTAAATGCACAACTGTTAAGAGATTATTAAATATTTAACAATAAATATAAAAAAAATGAAATTAAACTTTGGTGAAAACAATTTAAAAAAAAATTTGCAATAGTTATACTAACATTTAAATTTGTATTTAATTTTGAGTTATTAGTATCAAAAAACTTTCTTTTAAAAAATAAAATTGACTCACAGATTCATAATTTTTGGCTTCCACGCCAGTTTTTATATCTAAATAAATTTCTTGTTTAGCAAAATTAAGATCTGTAAATAATAAAATAAAATTGTAATTATTACATAAATTCAAAGAAATCTTAAAAAATATTTAATCCATTGTAAATTTTATTAATTTTAAATATTTAAATTATCAAATGAATAATATTTTATTTATTAAAATAAATTAATGGAATTTATGGAATTTTCAGCTGTTCAATCACTATATGGCATTTATGTAGTCATTGGTTGTATCTTCAACTTACATTCATCTGAAAAACATAAACAAAAAAATCTTATATTTACAACAAATTTAATTCAAGCCCCTTAGTTACTAAATTCCTTAAGTCCAATGAACACATTTTATGACCGCACAAACAAGATCCAATATTTCACATAAAAATAGAGCCAACTAAGACTACCTTTTCGTTGTTTATGATAATGATTCAACTAAATTAATTTTTTTGCATATATCACCAAATAAGATTTTATTTATATTATTTATATATTATATATTATATTATTATATATTGTATATCTTGAAATTTTATTTGTTTTAAAATAACGAATGTTTTAGTTTTCCAAATGAATTATTTGTAAATATTTTAAACATACCTACTAAATTGTAACATAAAATATCATAAGCAAAAATTTTAGTTAAAATGTAACTACATATTTGTTAATAGTGGATACAATCTTTTACTGTTGAGGTATAATAAAAGTGTTTTGATGATTAATTATTAATCCTGTTGCACATTATTAATTAGAATAATATAATATCTATAAATTGATGAACATTAAGTATATTCATAAAATATACACTTCCAATATGTATCAAAAAGTGTGTGTGCGGTAAGATAATGGACTCAAGTATTTTAAAATGTGTGCATTATAATCTTGTGTAATTTGTTGCTATTTATTCAAAATGAGCGACACCCAAACATTTACAGTTACTAATTATCTTTAGCTTACTTTTATTTAATGCTTTTGAAATGAAACATATTTCAAACATGTCATAAGTTTCCACACTGAAAGTAAATTTTCCAGAAGTAATATCTTCTTTCTGTACCAATATGTGGTTTTTTGAATCTTTAACCTAATAATAAAAGAAATGCATACAAAAACCTAATTTAATGTAAAGCTAATTAAAGCGACACAAATATTTGGAAACAGGAAGTTATTAGATAGTTTCAATGCACTTACAGTAAAATCCACTTGAAGCCCTACGATTGGCATTACGTCATACAGGCCCTTGACTAAAATATCTTTCTGCAGTTCTCCCCTCAGACATTTCTGGCTGTTTGATGGCATATGCCATGATATACAGCTGCCAGTAGAGAGCACAGCGAATAAGATTGTCAACCATTTCATCATCAGATATATTGTCAACAAATCCCGATAATTATAGTAAAGTTTTGATTAGACTGAGATAGATTTACTGTTACAGCAAGATACGCGAGAAAAAAAATATCAATCAAGTAAGAAAAAAACAATTTGGTAAATTGACGAAGAACGACAATTTTTCATGGATATACCCGTTATTAGAGAAATGTAACGTGTATATAGTAGTATTGATAACCGATACCGACAACACACCGATGATAACGCACAAAATTGTCGACAGAAAATACCACAGATATCAATATTGATATCTAGTTATCTGGACGGAAAAATAATTATTTCACGAATACGGAAGATAGCTTACATTTATAACACAAAATGTAATGTAATGCTTGTAAATATTCAGTAGGTAGTCTGTACGTTGTAATTATTTAATATAATTAATTAATGCAATCATCTTCTTTACTAAAGGCTTAACCTTGTCATAGTTAGAAAATAGATCTCCACTCCTCTCTCCTCAATACCAGAGTTTTCATTTGTGAATGAAGACGCTACATCTAGTCATTCCAATAATCTCTCCTATGAACGTCTTCCTCTTCTTTCTATTATGTTGGTTATGAAAGGGTTAGTCTCAATAAGTTTTCCGCTTCTTGATCTAATGATGGATACTAAAACTCTCTTCTCCTCTCTATTTGGAGAATTTCTTCATTGTTCTTTCTTTCAATCCAACTAATACGAAGTATTCTTCTCCAGGTCCACATTTCCATTGTTTCGATTTTTTCCCATCTTATGATGTTAAGGTCCAGGTTTCACTGCTATATAACAAAACATTCCATACGTAGCTTTTGGCAAAGTTTTTTTCTGGATTTAAGACTAAGATTCTTGTTCGTAAATAGCTATTTTTTTTTTTTTTGTGCGAAGGCTCTATTTGCCATAACTATTCGGTGTCTTATTTCTATCGAACATCTATTATCACTCATTAATATACTTCCTAAATATGTATATTATTGTACCTGATCAATTATTTTGTTATCCAATTGTATTTTGATGATGGGGACTCTGCTCTCTTTACTTACCACCATGACTTTTGTTTTCCTTATATTGATCTTCATAAGGTATCGTTTTAATATCTCATTAAATGGAGCCAGTGATTGTTGCATATCCCTTGCTGTTTCTGTTACCATAGTAATATCATCAGCAAATCTGATACAATAGATTGTATTTCCATTTATTTTTACACCTTTAGTTTTGACTTTAAGTTCCTGTACAACTTCTATGAATATATTGAATAAATAGGGTGACAAAAAACAGCCTTGTCTTACCCCTCTACGAATCTGGCTATGGATATGTAGTCTCCTATTTTAATTGTTGTTTCTTGGTTTTTATATAGTTCTATAATTATTTTTCTATCTCTCCAATCTAGGCCAGTTATTTTCAAGGTGGTCATCAACAAGTTCCAATTTACGGTGTCGAATGCTTTTTCTAAATCGATTAACCCTATATATGTATTTTTGTTCATATTTAGCCTTCTTTCTGCAATCGTTCTCAAAGCTAAGATAACTTCTCTGATACCCAGTCCTTGTCTTTTTCCAAATTTATTTCTGTTTTCTTCCATATTCTCTTTTTTATAATGTTCAAAAGTATTTTTGAAGCATGTGTAAGGAGGCTAATAGTTCTACAGTTGTTGTATTCTGTAGGGTTTCCTTTTTGAAAATAAGTATAGTCCTACTTCATGTAAAATTTTTTGGTATTATACCTTTTCGGTAAGTTTTTTCTACCATTTTAAACAATATATCTCTTGTTTCTTCTCCTAATTAATGCAATAAAATACAATATAATTTTAATTCATTGTTATCAATTCTAATAATTATTACTTTTTAGTAATAAATAAAATTAAATAAAAACCATAAAATTATACACAAACTACTATTATTTAAATTAATTTTAAAAAAAACGTAATAATTAATAAAATTGTTTTTTTTTTTTTTTTTTTAATAAGGCCTATAAATTTAAATAAAATTATATATATTTAATGACTAATTAAGTACATGTTCAATATAATCTTTGAATAATAAAATAAAACCTTTAGTATATGATAATCACTTTTATAACTTATTAACAATTAAATATTCTTATAATATATTAATTATAATAATAATTATTTATATATTTGAGCAGGTTAAATTTTATATTAATTCAAACAAAAAATAAAACAGTAATTTATTAAATTAGAATAAGGCATATTAGACACAAAAAGGCCTTGCAGTTGAATAATTTAAAAATAAACCATATGTTTCATTAATATACTAAAATTATTAAAAAACATCACTTACTATAAAATATTAATATATACAAAACATTTTTAAGTTCCTTTTTTTTTAAAAAAATTTAATAATATATTTTCCAATCATTGAAATATTTATTACCTGCATAGGTACTAGTAAATATTTATTGGTATAGAATAAATTAATGCTGTAATAAAGTATTAAAATAATTAATATCTTGATTAATGCAACATAAAAGCTTTCTCTTTTAAATCTGTATTAGAAACAATATTTAATTTTTGACTAAGATAAAAAATATCACTTACCTAACACAAAATAAATCAATAATTTACTATACTGTTAAAATATACATTTTTTCACTTAATAATCAGGATTGGTTTAAAAAATATATACTTATACATAAAAATTAACATTATTTTTAATAGTACTATTTTCATTTTGAAGTCAGTTCTCTTGCATGGGGATGAGGTAATAGTGAAGCTATTCCATTTATTATAGCTATTGGTTTCCGCTGAACACAAACTTTATAAGACCAAGTATTACATAACAGAGCCAACATACCATAAATAGTTTGAGCCATCTCATCATTATCTATATTGTTTTCACAGATGTAAACGGTATCGAAGTAAAATGTCGGAGAACAAAATATGCTGTATGTATTTTTATCCAAAGACTCTATAATAGGTAAACAGTCATCTCTATTGTAAGTCATAATAACTCTAAATACACTATCTTTATGCATATTTCTCAACTCCGCAACAAATTTTAGTAAAGGGCCAAAATCATATGCAGCAACTTCTTCAGGTTTTTCATTTTGAATCAATATGGATGATAATTTTTCAACGATGATATTGATGTTTGATGTAAAATCTAATATAAATTTATAAGAATGTGGAGTTAATATACAAATTGCAAAAGAATTATTTTGGTAACGATTTTTTTGCAATGCAAAAAATCTGCACGCTCTTTGAATAATAGCCAAGCTAGACATTGATTCTAAATTGGTAGGACTAAAATCAATATCCAATTTGGTTAAGGCAAAAGAATCAATTATGAATAATATTTTTTCATTTGGTAAGGTTTTAAACTCTACAGACGGTTTTACAAGATTCTTCGAAAGAGCTTTTGCATAGGACATCGTAACTATAGATAGGTAGATGTAAATGACAGCTTGTACAACTTCTTAATTTATGAACAAACAATTTTGAATGGCCGGAAGTTTAGTATTTTGAAGTTTTTTGAATATACTTTCCATACAAACGCCTAAAGAAGGAAAATGATAACAAAGTGAGTCTAATAAAAATATTAATAAATACAAAATGGTTATATTTTTGTGAAAAAAAAGTATACCTTGTAATTTTTATAACAATTATATTAAATCAGTTGTTGACTTTAAAATAGGTAAAATTCAAATAGTACCATCCTGATGAAAATTGAATTGCTAATTATTTTTAAAACGTTGACATAAGTAAAATTAAACTACATTGAATATTAAATTGTTTTGACGACTAACCTTTCGATCGAAGAATTCATTCTTTACTACTAATTAATGACAAATACAGTCTGATTTGCAAGTGCCAGTTGGATAGTAGGATCATGCCGTATGTAGTGATAACTCTCCTAAAACTTGCGGGTCGAAAATTTAGACTGATAACATGATAAAAGATAAGCCAAAATATCCCTATATAAAAGAATAAAAATGTACACGGTTTGACCAAATGGTAGGCGTATAAATTAAGGTAAACACAGTTGCATTTAGCCTGTGTAGCATAGGCGTGTGCAGATCTGTTTTTCAGAAGGTGCGTACAATACTTTTGAACCATATCTTAACAAAACGTATATCATTTAATAAATTATAATATTTAAATAATTAAATAAACATCTTTTATTTAATATCGTCAGTGCCATAACCATCCTTCATGGCACCCTTGGCGAATTTTATCCTGGCACTTATTTAATACAAAAAAATAAAATAAAATTTTAATTCAACTATATAAATATGTCTCCTTTCTTTTCTTCTCTTTTGCGCTTTTGGTAACCACCAATTTCGTCTGAATTGAATCTCGTGTAATATTCTTATTTAGTTTCAATTATATATGATTTGTACTTTTGTAATCAATCGTAGCTGTTATATTATTGTAATACATTGTTTTCACAACAATTTAGAAATTTTGTTTTATTTTTTCTATTACGAAACATTATTTATTTTTTAACAAATATTCTAGAATAAATTACACTTAATTTGAACTATATGAGTTATCATATTAGCCCATTACTCTTAGATTAAAATTACAGAGTTCCCCATTTACAAGCACACATGGTAACCCCATGCATACGCCCATACCATGTAGATATTAAATAGGTCTGAAACCAATACTCATTTAGCATGCAATTTTGTTGAACGATCTATATTTATCGTTTGTACCATGAAATCGTGTTCTTTGCAAAATTATAATTCGTCAAAGAAAATTTTTTAATTTAATAATGAATTATATTAATTTTTGCTATACCAGGTACGAGGTACTTAGATACCTAGGTAATAATTTATCTACAGTGACCAAATTCAAATAAATCACAATTTATACAAATGTGGCAAAATTATAATTATTCAAATGTTAAAATAATAAGTTCGTCTTAGTGAGAAGATATTAATACAATACACAACAAACAATCGTTATGTATCAGATCTTAATGATCTATGTCATGGCTAGATTTTTTTTGTGAAAAATTGTACTACATTTATTGTGACTATTAGAGTATTATTTAGTATATTATTTATTTTATTTTTTATTTTAGAGTATTATTATTATTATTTAACTATTATTTATTAAAATAAGAAATGTGATATTGCCATGTGAGCCTTGCAATAATACTTTTTTTTAAAATATTTTTTTCTCATTCTTTCGAGATTTTGATATTATTACTTAGGTATTAGAGTAATGGAAAAATAGCATACCTACATCTATTATAATCGATGTCAAATTCTATAATAAATCCATAAACCAAAATACGTAGTTACATCTAATGCTTTTGGGTACCTACCAAATAATCAAACTTTTAATTTATTATTTTATTTTATCAATTTATACTCATTTAATTTACTAACTAGTTAGGTTTTAATTTAACGTTGAGTTACTATTTGATTTATACGTCATCGAGTGCATTGTGTATCATTGTATCAATACAAATTATTATAGATAACCGACGAAATTTTATTACATTGTAATAGTACATTATAGTTAATCACTCAGAAATAATATATTCATTATTAATATTATTTTATTTGTTTTTATATTATATTAATAATTATTTAATATTTGTACAAAGTCTAAATAGTAATTTATTTGTATTAATAATTGGTTAATATAACAATGAGAGTAGGGGCGGATCCATATTCGGGGAACTGTGGATCAAGCCATTTATAGAGGCCATTTATTAGGGATGAAACTGAATTAAAAATTAATACCTTGTAAAAAAAAAAAAAAACTCAACATGCTCATAAAAGCTTATAAGTATATTTATATTACATTTTAGAATTAGTGATACCACCTGTGGATATTTTAACTAACATACTGGGCGACATTAATGTTGCCTGGTAGACTGAAATATTTATAACTGGACGACATTAATGTTGCCTGGTAGACTGAAATATTAATAACTGGACGACAACAATTTTTTGGTAAAAATATTATAAAAAAAACGATAACACATCAACTAATAATTAGGAAATTGGAATAATAATATTTCTGTGTAGTGTTATAAATTGCCAACATCACTATAAGTTGCACATATACTATCAAATATACACACCGGCGATCGGCTTCATTAGCTATTTTCATTTATATTGTTTTGTGGGTATTTACGACGTTATCGCGGTGCCGTATCGCAGCGTTGACGTGTGTAATAATACGTCTATTTTTATTTCAGCCAAATTTCTTAGTATTTAATTTTGTTTTATCGTAAATATTCTGGCATTTTTCCGGCATCCGTCGAACATCGAGATCGAAGTTGAATGATAAAAATCATAAGGTAAGAAAAAGAATATACGTATTAACTGTAAAAAAACTTATCTTATTTTAAATTTTTAAAGAATTTAATATTAAAGCTTAAGTTACTATACACTACATTAACAAAGTCAATAATTAATTTGTTTAAAACTTAACAACTTAAACGGATTGCAAACTAGGCGATTCGAATGAAAAATGAAAAATAAATTCCAACGCAAACGCGAAGTACTGTACATGTGGTCATGTTACGATGTACAGTAACAACTAAACCAAAAGTTTCATAACCTATCAATGTTTTATGAGAGAAGTCCCCCGAGTTAGTATTTAGTAAATACTAATCACGACGATTCGTAATTATAGAGCTCTTTATATTGTATGCTACCTGGGCTTATCCGTGTTTGAAAACCACTCTAAATTAAACACCCATATAAAGATTTAGATTCGTTTATTCTCTCGTTTTTCTTAACGATCGCCTCCGACATTGTAGTTTACATTATGCAATTTAAAAATCAGATAATTTTTATTTAACTGTCATCTTCAAACATATATTATATATAGGTAATATTGTTTTTATTTTGTTTCCCTTGTAGATATCAATATATCAATATCAAAATTGTTATAAAATAATGTTCTTAGAGTGAGGACGTTAGAAACGTAAAAAAATAAAAATAACGATTTATTGCAAATTATCCTCCACATACAAAAGTTATGTATACACCACTGAAGAGGACCATTAATGGTCGGTAATATAATATTTAAAAAAATTTTTGTAAAATAAAATATATTATACATAATATGTGTAAATTATTATATATTGTTAATCGATTACGATTAAAAATATACTATGTGATAAAATAGTCGAAATTAAAAATTAAAAAAATACTACATTTCCTCTAAACGTCTAAGCTGGGACATATGGACGTCCCGAAAACATTTTTCGGGACACCGGGACGCGAAGTCCAAAACCGGTGACAATCCCGGTTTTCCGGGACGTATGGTAACCCTACGTCTGTTAAATGTAATTCGTATTAAATATAAATATAAATTTGTTGCTATCGACAAAGATTTGGCTATCTGTGGAGTTCTCAATGATGATAAGATTTTGAATAAGACTGATGACGAAGAGCTTCCGTAAGCTCGAATGTAGCAAAATTAGGTCACTGAGCCGTCTTAAATTTTTTACAAAGACATGATATTGACGACAGTGTATTTTGTAATATTCTAAATATGGACAATACTATTAATCACGTAAGCGCAAGTAGATACACACAAAAAAAAAAGACGTATGTATGTAATAAACAAAAATATATGAATTTATCTAATAAAATATTTAATAATAATCTAATATTGTATGTAGGTATGTAATTATAAAAATCTTATAAAATCTAAATTTTCTTTTAAATATCGTTTAAACAAATATTGTTGATTTATGCTTTTGATATAATGAATTTTGATGTAACGAACTTTCAATATAACATACTTTTTGCTCGGTCCCTTGAAATTTGTTACATCGCGAGTTGACTGTATATGCAATATATTACTTAGTATTTAATTTTTAATGTTTTACAGTGTGAATGCGCATACTGTTTTAGTATGGTACATTATACACTTGTAAGTATCCTTAGTTTTATTATTAACACTGTTGTCAATTTTGGTGAATATTCCTATACAGTGGCGTATACAAGGGTGATGTGGGGGTCTGTTCCCTCCCTAGGTCTTTTTTTTTAAATATTATAAAATAATTTTCTTAGTGTGAGGGCGTTAGAAACGTAAAAAAAAAAAAAAAATAATAGAATAAAAATAATGATTTGTATGAAAATGATCCCCCCTCCCATACAAAAGTTATGTATGTTATGTACCAATGATAGGTAGCTGATAAATAAAAAAACTGTACCTAGCCGAATAATTTGAATATTTTGATTGGGTACTTGGCATTTAGTTTGAAATAGTGATGGGCGATTTTTGGAAATGGATCGATTCCATTTCCAAAAGTACCGGCAGAAAAAGATCGATTCACTTTTAATTAGTGATATGTGATTCATGGAAATTAATCAATATTTTAAAATGATTCAAATCGAAATGAAAAGAACAATCCAAAAAAAAGATTCATATACTGCGTCATATACTCATATTATTTAGTATGTATCTCATTATCCCATGCTTAAATTATCATTAAATTTTAAATAATCAAAAAAATTGTGGGGGGGGCTATAATACATTGGGGGGCTAATCCCCCTAAGTCCCCCTAATTGCGTCAATGAGTTTGTCTTCTAATGAAATAAATGTAATCGGTTAGTAGTACTAACCGATTACATTTATTTCATAAGTACCTACTCATATAGTCGTATCGATTATTGATTGAGATTATCAAAGGTATATACTCTGATGTCAGATAATCGGGACGCAATTCGTATGCAGCCTATCTTTCATAGTTATAATCAATGGCATAACTAGGGGTGTGGTTTGGGAGTTGTAACCCCCCCCACCGAAATTTATATAGGTTTTTACAAATTCTACATAGAAAAAAAAATGATTTATCTTGAACACGCGAAACGGCTGATCGATAGGAAATATGAATATTATTCGTATTACAATTGATAACAATAATAACATGACAATACGGAACGTTTTGTAACGTTCCGTTTAACTTTAAAACATCAATAACCTTGCTACTACGATTTCTCGACAGTCGATTGTATATTTTTTTTTTTGTGGTATCACAATATGAAATAGAATTTAAATAGTTTGATTTGTAATTTAAATATTTTATTCATAAACCTAACTTAATCTTACTTCCTTATCCTCACTAAACACCTGCAGAAAATGCTTATTTTTTTCAAATTCACAACCCCTTCTGAAAACCAATTCTGATGGCACCATTGGTATATTAATAATCAGTAGTCTTCAGCTTTCTAACAAAAATACTTTAACCATCGTAAATCGTAGAACTTAGTGATTAGAAGTTGAAATAACATTTATTGCATCTTTAAATTTACATAACATAATTTATAAAAACTTCCTAACAATGTTAAGGTCTTAACACATAAAACAACTATTCAACGGGCATTAGGTAAAAACTTATTAATAATGTTAAGGTCTTAACACATAAAACAACTATACAACGAGCAATAGGTTTAAAACACAATATTTATATAAAATGAACAACAGGTAATCTCGCTAAATCATAAATTTTAAATTTCTCCGTAAATATTGTTAGTTTCATCATAGGTAATAACTGTAAAGCTAATACCTTTACGAACATATCATCTGATGGAAGGGTGGGGCGATTGCTTCCATCACCCCTCCTCCACTACCACTCAAATACGCCACTTGAAGAGAAACAAAAAATAAAATAGGCAGGGTCCGTCAGAGCCGTACCATAGAGTAGTACTACTCTATGAGCCGTACACGTCTCACCGTGTGATAACGGTGAACAATAAACACGCGGCGTATTACTTTTGTACATATAGTCGACAACAAACGGGTTACATAGCGAAGCATTTACCTCCATGGCCCCCCGCTAGCGTACCGGGTTACGACGGTCCGTTGGTCGACGACAGCGGCGCGTGTGCGATCGCTTTGTGCTGAAACGCAACGTTGAAGCAGCTGCTGCATCGGTCCGTACTATCGATGTGCGGTGCGGTAGAGGGAAACTGAATGTTAGCATAATCATCGTTGTCGTCGTATAATCATCGCCGGGTGCGCGTAGATTTTCCGTCGAATTTTTTTTTTTATTGTTCCCCGCTATTTCGTTCACTTTCTCACTCGTTCTCTCTCTCTCTCACCGTCTGTACGCAGTTTGCAATCGCTCTCTCTCACTCTCTCTCTTTCTCTTGCGCGCGCGCGCTCATACGCACCGTGTTCGTTCCTTTGCTCTTTCCGTTCTCCCCCTCGCGCGTTCCGCTCCGGCGTAACAATAATTTTCCCGTCGCCGTCCGCAGACCGCTCTTAGACACAGGCGTAGATTTCGCCCGTCTCGTGATCGTTTTCATCCGCCTCACGTATGCGGATTTCGCGCAACAATAACAATATCGGTCGCAACACGCTACTACCGGTCCGTTCGTGACACTTGCCGTTGATGACCGCTAACAGCAGACCAGCGATCAAGACGTCTCGCTCGACTCGGAGCAGGTAGGCGTACGCGTAGTTGTAGCTGCGACCTATTGTGCCGTCACCGCCGCCGCCACTTATTCGACCAGTTGTCGCGTATTGACCCGTCGTCGAGCGCGCGCTGCCACCGCACGATAACCATCTGATTATAAGTAGTGTGATAATTATAGTTTACTGCAATAACACTACACGGTGTAGTTGGATTTCCCACTCTATCTAACTGCTCACCCGTCTTACGATGGCTGCTGAGAGGGAAATTGCTGCTGAAGACAGCATCAAAGTCGTGTGTCGTTTCCGTCCGTTGAATGATTCAGAAGAAAAAGCTGGCTCCAAGTTTGTAGTAAAATTTCCGACAGGACCTGACGAAAATTGCATCACCATTGGTGTAAGTACCATCTTTACCAGACAATATCCATGTTTAAAACAATTTTCTTCTATATTTCCTATTTACCTTATATAACCTATGTGAATTGGTCTTCTCATAGCAACTACTAGATAGGTTATTATTTTCTTCATTGCCTGGATAGTCTAGTATTGGTTTATGTAATGTGCAAAGTGTCTCCATTAGCTTATTTTTATTTAAATCTTTCTGTCAACTTATTAAATTCAGTACGAGCTATGTACCCTAAAATATAATGGGTAATAATGCATATTACAACTGCTATGATAGTTGTTTAAATGTATCTTGCATACATTATAATGTATGCATTAATTTAAAACATTAATCAAATTTAATATTGAAATTCAGTTTATTTTACTCAAGAATAAGATATTTTATAATTATACAATATTGTGTATAATTTATTGACCATTATGTACTTACTTATTAAACTATGAATTATTACTACTTATTGGTGTCTATTTCATGATTGCTCATTATATTATACTGGAAAACATAATGTATTGATAAGTTATATTAAAAGGAATGTAAAGAATATACTTGGAAATATATTACATAGGTATTAATAATAAAATTTAAAAATAACTAGGTAATAAGCAAAATCAGTTATTTATACATATAATAATGTAGGATACTTTAAATTAAGAGACTCATTAACAGACATTAAAATAAAAATGTATATATTGAATGAATTTTAAGTTTAAATAACTATGCTCATTATATCTGAACACCTATTTATTGTATACAATAGTAAGTAAATATCTATATTTTTACTGCAAAATGTTATATTTTAATGTTTTTTTCAATAAGGATATTCTACGAATTAATAATAATATTCAATTAGATCTTTTATTGATAAAATTATGTTGTAAATTAGTATTGATTTCAGTATTTTTACAGTTATGAATACTCTCATTTGTAAAATTGCATAGTTCAAATTCTAAATGTGTTTTCCCAATTAGTCATTATTTTTAAATATAAAACATTAAATTGTTTTTGATCAAAATTTTTTAATCATTTTATATATGATTAAAATGTAATGTTTTTAGACATTAGACTGTACACTAAAGAGGATTAATTTATTATAGTTTTATATCAGTGTTATAGTAGGTGCATATTTTTAAAGTGTTCATTGTATACGAATAATGTACTGAAAAATAATAAAACTAGACTAGTTAGGCTTAATGAAACTTATTAAAGTAAGGTTTTTTTAATTTTCTCTCATTATATTTTTTTTTTAGTGCACAATAATTTTCATAGAGCTAATATTTTTCTTAATTTTGGTGTAGTTAGATTAATATTATACATTACAGATGATGAATCTTTTTTCAGTTATGTACTTCAATTTTTAAAACATTTAATTTGTAAATATTTGAAAAGGTAAATTATATTTTTTTTAAAACTCATGATTTAGCAACAATCCTAATCTATGGTATTATTATTTTCCCAAACGTTTTCCCTGTGTGCTATGACATTGATATTATTTATAGAGTATTTTTCTTTGTTTGTGATTTATATGAACAATGTTTTTTGATTAAACATATCGTAAATTGTAATTATAAATTGTTTGTTAGGTACATTTTATTATAAACACTTACTAGGTAGTATAGTTGTATATTATATTATAAAATACATCTGATAAAATATTAATTTATTGGTGTATGTTTTTATCATTTTGGCTTTCGTGTAGCAGGTGATCTACCGAGGGCTGAGTGATCTGCGAATTCAGAACGAGTGATCTACTTTTAATAGTATAAAAACACATTTTATTTTTTACTACAAGTATGTCATATCATACAAATATTCGTTAAATATAAAAATAAAAAATAATTAGCCAAATATAATTATAATTTCAATTACAGTAAATATTTTATAAAATTCAGCCGTATTTTCAACTCCGACCAACAAACAATTTTAAACTAACCTATCCAGCAACATTGCTAATGAATTGTAGTTATATTGTTAATGTCATTAATCGTTATCGCAATACTATCCCACTGCTGTCTCCGATAATATGTGCGTATAATAATAGTATAATATAATAATAATCATGGTTCGGATCTTATAGCATTTGCTACTTATTATAGGATAAAGATAAAAATAGCAGAGTGAGCTATTCATTTGTTTTAATAACCAGTGACTTCAAATTAGAAATTTTATTTTGGTATTTTTTGCATATTTGAAGTATTTTAGATTTTTAATGCTATTTTTGAAGTTTTGTTAATATACTTGATTTTATGCTTTATTTTGTATTTTTCAAGAATCTCGTTTATATTGAATGAAAAATAGTATTCATTTAGGTGAATCCAAAAATGCCTACATTTTCGTTTCATATTGATAATTGATAAATAATATGGTTCTTACTGTTTAACATATTACTAGAATCTATTTTTAAGTAGCCTGACAATATCAAATATATATATACATTTATGTCGTCTTATCTGTTTTATTTATTTTAATTTTATTATTGTTCTACAAAATATTGTCGTCTATCGTATGTATTTCATGTTTTCAGTGTCAGTTCTCCGTATTGTTTGATATTGTTTCATATTTGTTTATTACTCGATTGTGTATTATTTGTTTTTCTGTTTCAATACTAAACGTAAAATGCCGAAAGTCAAAACATCGAACTATTCGAGACTTAGATATTTTGTATCTGAGTTTGGTAGCTTTGATGTTTTTACGATTGACGCAAGTATTCTATTTTGCAAATTGTGTGAATAAAAAGTTAATAGTAACAAAAAGTTTAACGTTACTCAACACTTAAAAACGGAGAAACAGTTACATGCAAACAATATCATCATTCAAAGTAAAACAGGTATACATACAACAAGATGTATCACATATAAGTTTTTTGAAATTGTTAATAGATGTTACTTTTTTTTTTTTTTATTAATGTATTACTTCATAAAATAATGTAATACATTTAATAAAATTTTGATTTAAATTTTTATTTTTATTTATTTTTTTATTTTTTTCTATTTTTGTTGTTTTTAAGGCATATTTATAGAGCATATTTTAAGGTTTTTTTGGTCATATATAGCGCATATTTTAGTGTTTTTGGTGCTATTAAATCCAAACCCTGATAATAATAATTATAGATTACCAACTACACCTTGTATAATACAATAGATCACCTGATACACCTAAAAAGAGGCTGTAGATCACTTACTATACGAATGCCATCATTTTTTACATGCATTTCTTCATTCAACATATTCTTTCAAATATCAGAACTATTTTTATTTATTCATGTTTTAAAAAATATTAAAATAGGTATAATAACAAATTTTTTTTTTTTACTTATTTGCAATCATTAAGCTTTCATTTATGAAAAAATTAATTCATTAGAGTATAAAATTTACTTTCAAATGTTTTAAATTAGAGTATTGTTTGTGTAGATCTAGTTCTAGTATTAGTTTTTATTTACTTATTTTTAATGTTTTAACTAAGATTGTGTAATAAATAAATTACTTTTTCAAAATTTAAAAATCTGTCTTAACTCTTATGATTTATTCATTGCTGTTTACCTCACCACAAAAAAATATTGTGCATATCATTGAATAGTTGATAATACATTTAAAAATAATTTTTAAAATTGGTAGGTAAATTTAAAATTGTTATATTAATAATTAAATATTTTGCATTATTTTAAAATAATTTTGTGATGATTTATTAAGTTATACAATTAGGTGATTCTTTTTATAAAATACATTTGTTTAACATTATATTATTTAATGCTTAAAATTGTTTAATGTTGGCTAAATTTATTATATTCAATGAACATTTAACTAGTTGAAATAATTTCTTTATGATTAGATGGAAATTACAACAAAATATAAGTATGAACATACCTACTGCTGACAATAATTATTCAAAGTCTAATTATTATTCTTTGAATAATAGTTCACATTTAACAGTTAATTTGATAAAATTTAATTTGTGTTTAGGGCAAAGTTTACTTATTTGATAAAGTTTTTAAGCCAAATGCCAGTCAAGATAAAGTTTATGGTGATGCTGCAAAATCAATTGTATCCGGTAACATTCATTTTTTTCATTATTATTAATTTATATATATATATTTTGTTAAGTTTTTTTTATGTTATATTTAAAACAAAAAAATGAATAATATGTTCAATAAAATAATGTTTTATAAATGAATTTCAGTTAAAAAATTTACACTCTAACATTTTTATTGAATTTTATCTTAAAGTTCAAATAATTATTCTTATTACTTACATTCAATATTCAGATGTTCTTGCGGGTTACAATGGAACTATTTTTGCATATGGTCAAACTTCTTCTGGTAAAACACATACTATGGAAGGGGTTATTGGTGATCCATCCAAACAAGGGATTATTCCTCGGATTGTTAATGATATATTTAACCATATATATGCAATGGAAGAAAATTTAGAGTTCCATATAAAGGTGTCTTATTTTGAAATCTATATGGACAAGATTCGTGATTTATTAGATGGTATGTGATTATCTTTATACATTAATAATGTAGTAATTTATTAAAATAATTTGTTCATTGTTGATTATTTTTAGTTTCAAAAGTAAATTTAAGTGTTCATGAAGATAAAAATCGAGTTCCTTTTGTAAAAGGTGCTACTGAACGTTTTGTTTCTAGTCCTGAAGAAGTATTTGCTGTGATTGAAGAAGGCAAAGCAAACAGACATATAGCTGTTACAAGTAAATTTGTAGTCAAAAATATAGTTATTAGATTTATTCATATTATTTATTATTTTTATTGTAGACATGAACGAGCATAGTTCTAGAAGTCACAGTGTATTTTTAATAAATGTGAAACAGGAGAATTTGGAAAACGAAAAAAAATTATCAGGAAAACTTTATCTTGTAGATTTAGCTGGAAGTGAAAAAGTAAATGATTTATATCTAACAAATTCGTTTTAAATTTAAAAAATTGATTAGGAAATATTTTTTCTGAACTATTATAATTTTAAGGTTAGTAAAACTGGTGCAGAAGGAACAGTGTTAGATGAAGCTAAAAATATTAACAAATCATTATCAGCTTTGGGTAATGTAATATCTGCTCTTGCTGAGGATAAAAAAACACATATACCATATCGAGACTCAAAATTAACACGTATATTACAAGAATCATTGGGTGGAAATGCTCGCACAACAATCATAATTTGTTGTTCTCCTGCCTCATTTAATGAATCTGAAACAAAATCAACTTTAGATTTTGGTCGAAGGTTAGTGAAAAATGTTTTGTATTACTATGCTACAAACTAACCGCAATTATAATATAATAAAACAATACTTATACACTTAAATTCAATAAATTAATCAAATAATGTTGAGTATTATTAGCTTTGTTTAAACCAGTGGTTTTCAACCTTTTTAACAATGCGGCACACTTCATCTCCAATAAACTTTTTGCGGCACACCAATCCATATATATGTATACTATTTACAGTCTATTCTATTAGAGGGTTATTTATTGTAAAATATATTAATACAATAATCGATCGATCAAGACGGCTGTGACGGGCATACTTACTATAAATAATATTATATGTATCTACGATAAGTTCGATCAGTTTTCATTTCGAATATCAATAATAAACTGGTAAATACGTACTTATAAAACAATTTATAAATTTATCGCGGCACATTTAAAGGGCACTCACGGCACACCAATGTGCCGCGGCACACCGGTTGAGAACCACTGGTTTAAATCATTCTTTAAGTATTAGTTTTTTCTTGTTTACTATTCTGCAAATTAATTGTTGTGACGTAATAACATTTTTAGGAAATAGACAATTTATTCCTCATTTTTAGACTAAAATGTACAACATTGTACATGTAGTAAAATCATAATTCATCAGAAATTTGATTATACTTAATTGCAGTTATATTTTTTTGTTATTTAATTTGTACTTCAGATAGAAGAGAAAAATTATTTTTCTTCAAATTTTCAATTATATTTGTAATTGTTCTCTCCATTTCATTAGAGAACGGATAAAAATAAATAAAAATAAATTAAAATGTTGTTATAATTTTATCATTTAATTATTTATTTTATTAATTTAAAAGAGCAAAAACAATTAAGAATGTTATTACTGTGAATGAAGAATTAACAGCAGAAGAATGGAAAAGACGTTATGAAAAAGAAAAAGAAAAATGTACTCGTTATAAGGCTAAGTGTGATAAATTACAATCTGAGCTTAATCGGTAAGAAATGAGTGTAACACATATAATCTAATTTCTTTAATAATAAAAAAAATAAAATTATACAGCTGGAGGTTAGGAGAAACCGTAAAAGAAGATGAACAAGTAAATCTTCAAGAACCTATGGAGGCATCAACACCAAATGTTCAAATAGATATTAAAAAAGGTACTAGCAAAAATGAAAGCATTTTTTCATTGTTTTAAAAACCTTGATTGGTGTATGAATATCATGTTACAAATTTAATATTATTTACAGAATTGGTTGGTCCAGTACCTGCTATACCAGGTGGTGTAATGACTGAATCTATGTCGACCGAAGAAAGACAAAAACTTGAAGAAGAACGTGAAACTCTGTATCAACAATTAGATGATAAAGACGAAGAAATCAATCAGCAGAGTCAAGATATTGAAAAATTAAAAGAACAAATAATGGAACAAGAAGAAGTAAATCTTAAATATTGTATAATTTAAGGACATAATAATTTATTTGAAAATAAACCATTTAGCTACTTACTTCTACCCAACGAGACTATGAGCAGTTACAACAAGAAATGCATAGAATTACTCAAGAAAATGAAAGTGCAAAAGAAGAAGTAAAAGAAGTACTTCAAGCTCTTGAAGAACTTGCGGTAAATTATGATCAAAAGAGTCAGGAAGTTGATTTGAAGAATAAAGAAAATGAAACTCTTGTTGAAGAACTATCACAAAAAGAGGTATAATAAATCAATAGTTTCTGTATTATTAAATGGATAATACGAGTACTACTATTTTTCTTTTTCAGTCTTCATTAAACTCCACATCATCTGAATTGCAACAACTAAGAGATATGTCTGTACATCAAAAGAAACGCACTACAGATATGTTGTCTAATCTTCTTAAAGATATGGCTGAGATTGGTGCAGCTATTGGTAGTGAAGCTGAACTCAATGTTAGTAATAATTCAATTTATTTTTTATTAAAAGTGATATTAAAAATGTGTTAACATTTTAAAAATAATACTTATAATATATTTTTTTATTCATTAAAGCAACACGCAATTAGTGATGGAAATAGTAAGTTGGATGAAGAATTTACTGTTGCTAGGCTTTATATTAGTAAAATGAAATCAGAAGTAAAAAATTTGGTTCAACGTTGCAATTTCTTTGAACTTAGTCAAACCGATATGAATAAAAAGGTAATATAAATTTTTTTATTTAATTGACCTACACTAAATTTCAACTATTTTTTTTATTTTTTAGGTTAATGATTATGAAAAAGAACTTGCTGAGAGTCGATTGAAAATTTCACAAAATGAAGCTCGACTTAAATCTATGCAAGAGTCTTTGAGAGAGTCAGAAAATAAGAAAAGAACATTGGAAGAAAATATTGATACTTTAAGGGAAGAGTTCGCTAAAATGAAAGCTGCAGGTATGATAAGTTATTTTTTGTCGAATATTTTATAATATAATTGTATGGCTTAACTATGATTTTTTTTTATTAGTGGATTTAGTTAAGATGAATGATTATAGAAAATAAATAAACAGTTGTATTTCTATTCTTACCCATCTAAATGTTTTTTTTTTAGCCACTATTAAACTAAAAAAAATTGTATATCTGTTCTGTATTAATTATTTGTTATATTTTATAATATTATCTATAAAGAAATTTTATTTTTTTAGAACAAGTTCATATAGTGTCATCATCAAAAGAAAAAGCTGAAGAAAAAGAAAAAGCAACTAGCATGCGTGCAGCTCTTGAAACACAAATGGATCAATTACGAGATGTTCATCATAAACAAGTGAGTAATTTTAATTAAGAATTTTTGATTATCATATGAAAATTACAAGTGTGAATATTTAATATTATGAAAATTTTTAAAACATTCAGAAGTCATTTTTATATAATTTATTGATTATTTGATTGCTTTGAAATAAAATTAATATAAAATATTATTCTACAATCTCAATTTTAAATAATTATCCAATTAATTTAAATTTAACTCCAATATTTGTTTATTTTTTTTAGGTGGCAGAATTAAGAGATGAGATTAGTGAAAAACAGGCTATGATTGCAGAACTTAAAGATCAAGTCCAAAAGTATTCATTAGCACAACAACAATTACAAACAGATTATAATAAATTATTACAAGAAGATCAAGAGAAAAGCCAACGTCTTCAAGAATATGTTTTGGCTAATGAGCGTCGTGAACAAGCACGTAAAGATCTCAAAGGCTTGGAAGATACTGTTACCAAAGAACTACAAACATTACATAATTTACGTAAAATATTTGTACAAGATTTGCAAGTATGTTATTATGATCATAAATTTTATTTTTATTATGGTTTTATTAAATTATTTATTTTTTAGTCTCGCATGAAAAAGTCAGCCACAGCAGAAGATACAGATGAAGCCAGCAGTGGTGGTACTTTAGCCCAAAGACAAAAAATTAGTTTCCTGGAGAACAATCTAGATCAACTTACCAAAGTTCACAAGCAATTGGTCAGAGATAACGCAGACTTACGATGTGAATTACCCAAATTAGAAAAAAGATTACGCGCCACAATGGATCGTGTCAAGGTTTGTTGTAACATAAATCGATAATCGTCTAATATACTATCTACTGCACGTTTGATGGTTTAGTATGTTATCTACCATAAATATTTTATCTACCGTCATTTTACGTGATATCAACACGTAACTATCTACAAATGTTAATTGTCTTACCTTTTTAATGCAGAATTTCTACTTTGTCATTTTTTATATGAATTATGTGTCGATATAAATAACTCATAGTTGACAAACTCATAATAATAATTAATAAATAAATCATAGTAAAAACGCATATAATCTATACGACTCAGAAACACACACTAAACAGGTATAACATAAAGCTATACCTACCAAGGAATAAATATAATATAATTTGGGGTTTTGTAAAATCTTAATCTTTATTTCAAAATAAAGTATATATAATATACAGCTTATGGACATATGGTAGATATCATACTAAACTATCATCAAATTACGGCAGACAGCATATTGGACGAGTATCCATAAATTTATTAATTTTTACTTAGAGTATAATTACGTAACCTTCTATGTATGATTACGGATTATTAGGCTCTTGAAGCAGCATTAAAAGATGCTAAAGAAGGTGCTATGAGAGACAGGAAACGATATCAATATGAAGTAGATCGTATTAAGGATGCAGTTAGGCAAAAGAATTTGGCTCGAAGGGGTCCTAGTCCTCAAATTGGTAATTTAATAACATATCTATTAATTTTATATTTAATCAATATTTAATTAATTATTTTTAGCCAAACCAATTAGAGCTGGACAACATAATATTATTGCAAGCAATCGCATTAGTGAAGATGAACTTAAGAAACGAAAAGCTGCTGTTATACCTGGTCTGTGATAATCAGGGCTCGGATTTTATAGCACAATTATAATTTATAAATGTAACCAAACGATACGTAGAACAGACTGACATTGAAATACATACCCACAGGTCGGCAGTATATTCTACAATTTAAACATTAATTAATTAAATATAAATAAAACCAAAGCATAAGTAATAAATTATTAATATTCGATATAGTCAAGCTTCCTAAAAATAGATTATATCACTGATATTATATTATTTATTATTATATTATTAATATGAAACGAGAAAAAGTGGATTTTTTTCTTATTTTATTCTTATTTATTCTTATTTTTTTTTTTCATTCAATATAAACAAAATTTATGGAAAATACAAAATAAAGCATTATATTGTTCATATTAGAAAAAAATAGCACTACTAATCTAAAATATATCTAATATGCATTAAATAGCAATATAAAATTTCATATTTGGAGTCTTATGTGCATAAAACAAATGTATTACTTACTCCTATTTTTATCTGTATCCTATAATAATAAGCAAACGCTATAAAATCCGAGCCCTGGAGATAATCATTATTTCCATAATACAATATGTTAATTGTAATGTTATTTGTTTTCTTATTTTCAGAGATTGCTGAAAGTAGTTAAAGAGCTTTACTATTATAATTTATTTGCTCTTGCCAAACAGTTATGTGGTGGAAGTATTTGATACAAATTGAATTTATATTATTTACAGAAATAATTCTTACTATAATATTTTAGAAACTTATTCAATTATTGCACCTTCTCTAATATTAATTTATATTTACATTATATGTATGTATGCGAGTGTATCAAATATGCAGCAGACATTTTCTCCTTGCACTTACAACTGATAAGGTGGATCTAGTGGCTTTTGGAGTAAAAAATGGTGGTGCTGTTTATCGTTCGCTTTCACATTGTCTGTACTTATAAAAATCAAAATAATTTGGTTTTATAATTATATTTCACTCTCCACTACCAAATTCTACTTGGCTTATTTATATATACATATTAGTGGAAAATTATAATTATTGTTTTTTTTTTGAAAAAATTATTTAACATCTTTAATTTTATTTATATTATGCAAATGGCGTGTATTTTTTTTTTTTAGACAGCTATTAATGCAATTATGTCTTATATTTATTTATTAAACATTTCCTATTTTTTTCAATTAATAAACTTTGTTTATTAACAACATTGTATAAAAGTAAAAATGAAACTCCAAATATTTTGTATTACATGGAATTAACTAAAATCAAAAAATTCTGATTTAAATATGATTTGAGTATATATCTAAGCTATATGTATGTGATGATGTTGAATATTATAAATAACATAAATATTTAAGTTTTGGAAATCTGGTATTAAAAGTTAAATGAAAATAATTTAAGTTTGTAAATTATATAAAATGGGAGTAATTGGGCTAGTATATTGAGTAATTTCTAATTATTTACTCTAAAATATCTAGAGCAGAAGTTTTAGAATTGAATTCTCATTGATTAACGATATAATTCCATTCTAGTCCAATTACAATTATTTCTATTCTAAAATCATGATTTAATACATATTGGCGCCCATAGCAGTTTTATTAAGATTAATTGAACCTAACACTTAAAAAATAAACTAAAATTAAAAATATTTTATTTTTATAATACTTGATTTTATATAAATTTTATTTTAAGTAAATTAACCAATTTTTTATTTTGAGCTGAGTATATAAGTTAATTTTTATAAATTTGTATATTTTTGGTTTTTCCATTGATATTTTTAGAAAAAAGTTACATATTCTTTTGTAATTGAAATAACTTAATTAACTGTTCATGATTAGAAACTCCTTGTATTTAGTAATTATTTTAATAAAATAATAATTAATAAAAATAAAATCTTTGGCATTATAAATTATCTTAAATATGATTTGGCATCTACATCTTGATCACAAGTTAAAAAATAATTTTTTTGTATTATTCACAAGTGGTAATATAAAATATTAAAATTGGATTAATGTGTTCTACAATTATTAAAATACATTCCATTAGTTAATGTTATGTAAGTTAATGATGGTCTGCCAACTGGCTAACAAATCTTTAGAAATGAATGTATATTAACATCTGAATTTAATGTAGGTGTATATTAATTTCTTGTTACTTATTATCCACTGCCTTTTAATTTTTATCTTAATTATGAGAAAACAATTATGATAATACATTTTGTGCCTATACTCATCAAGTATTCATAATTTAGTTTTAGTGTGTACAATATTGAAAAATGTGAATCAATAAATATTTTTGTGGCTTTTAAGTTATAAAAAATGGTCAAAAATTACTGCTAAGTTGACCATCTCTGTTCTAATTATGTTAAAAGTTGCTTAAAATGATTTATAAAATTATATACTAATATATTAAATTACATACTGTATGGTAAATTATGTTAAATGTTTTTTTGATTAATGATAACAAATTGTTATGCATAAACATACCAAGAATATTCATGCATTACAAATTATACAATTTTGCTTCAAATGTATTTAAAATATGCATTTTTTTTTATTCATAAAATTAATTTATTAAATGCATTATTGTATAAAATATATTTTGTTTTGTTTATTTTGAAGAAAAATAATATCAATATGAATCTTGCATCGTGCATTTTTGTCAATATAATTTACATTATTTGGTTGATTTATAGTGATGGTAATATTTTTCGTTGATTGTACTTTAAGGCCGTTTTCATGCACACCAGTAAAATCGTAGTTGGTTGTGGTATGACAAAATAGTTTATCATGAGAACGGTTTCAAATTATATACAATGAGGAAACCGTAGTCTGGACCTAATATGAGCAAATCAAATAAATGAAAGGTTAGACAAAAAAGTCTAAAGGCAATACATATACATAGAAGTACAGATTGTCTTATAAATAGGTTGTTGCAAACAATTTTAAACATATGATTAACATTCAACATATATCTATATTATATATAAGCTCTTTGAATTAAAATATATATAAAAAAATATTAATATAAGTTTTAAAATAAAAGCCATTTTCCATATCAATAAATTATAAAAAAAATACAATAAAGAATTTATTGAAATCGGTGTATTTTAGAAACTCTAATCAAAAGGTTATTCCATGCCCTTCTAATTTGTATACGAGTACAGTCATAACTCCATAATGTAGAAAATAAAACATTTGCATTCTTAACATATTCAGAATTTAAAGGTTGTGAATTAATTCGGTTGCGAGAATCTATTTCGCTGAGATGATTCCGCTCTTGAAGTCTTTTAATAGCCTATAAAAATCACAATAAAATATCTTTATCAAAGTGAAATAAATACTTTGATTTGAGTCCATTTTTTTTCATTTAATTTAAAAATATTGAAAAAATATTTTAGAATATATTATAGGTAAAAATGTATTACCTCGACTTCTGGAATAATTGAAACCCAAATTTCATGGCAATGGACTTGCCAATTTGCTGTTAAAAGAACAGCTGCTTCCAATACAACTATATTATGATCCTTAACTGATTCGATTAATATTTTAATTTTTTGTAAGATTAAGGGCCACATTATTTGATTTAACTGATCCAGTTTATCCTAAAAAAAGACATAACATATTAGAATAAAATATTAAATACAATTGATGTAGACATGATAATTACCTTACTAGTAAAAACTATGGCACCTAATTTTTTTCGGTCAACTTCATTATTTACATTGAGTATGGCGGAACCAAAAGTATCAATAATAGGTTGATACGCAGGCTGATTTATATCGTAAAGTCCATGCGCTAGAGTATCAGCATTTATTACATACGCTCCAAGTTCTTTCAAATAATTAGAAATAGATGATTTGCCACTTGCGATCCCACCAGTTAATCCAATAACGTAAGGAGTTGCAGGAATATTGGTATTAGGCTAAGCAACAATTTATAATTTACCATCAATGAAAAATATAGAATTTTCCATAAAAATAATAATATTATTTACTTGTGGTGATTTTAAAACAGTGCCTAATAATCTCATGCGATAATTGCTTGAGCTAATTTTGTTTTCTTCTTCTTGGCAGCAATCTACTGTTGACTTTTTTTCTTCAAGTAATGGCAAAGGTAATATTTCAAGCGGTTGCAATCCAGCATTTAGTCTTTTTTCATTAATTAACTCTCCACCTTTCATAGTTTCTTCACTCAAAATAATCATCTAAAGTATGTAAAATAAATGACAGTTAAATTTCACAGTACAACAAATATAATTGAAAAAATAAAGTTAATAACCTCAAATGCAGGATCATGGATTGTTGGACCATAAATGTCATAAATAGGTAATACATCATATTCTAATGTTGGATCAATGTCTTTCAAAAATCCTTCAACATTACTAATTCTAGTACTACAAGGCTCAATAATTTCCCATAATTTTTTTGCTAAATGAAACGAAATTACATTAAATAAGTAATTTGAAAAACTTAGTTGTTAATAGTTTAAAATAATATCAACAGTTAAATGGTAATTGACAGCCTATGAAGTAATGCAAAATAGGTAACTTGTTGCCTTTAAGTTAAAATAATAATTTAAAACTAGAATTAAATTAACCAAACAAAGGTTTTTAAAAAATTAATTAAATTACTTTAATCACAAGAAACTATTAAAAATTAAATATAATTAATTGAAGTTAATGAAAACTTTATTCAAGTAAATATAGTTTTATTTAATTAATTAATAAATTTAGTTTAGATAGGTTAAAACTTACATTTTAACATGATAATATCCGTTACACCCACAGTTAATTTTTTGGTACATTTCAATGCAGCTGTACTCAACAATATCTTGTGACCATTGTGCAATCGATCAAAAGTTCCACCCAAAACAACATTTTCAAATAGTTTACTTTCCACTTTGTTGTATTGGGTATTTTCTTTCATATCAATTGAACTGTCACTGTCTTCATTTGGCTGAACAAACACGGTCTTGAAATCAGGAGACTTGTTACTCAGGGAAGACACTACACTATCAAGTTCTTCAGACTTTATGTGATCATCGTAGAAAATAACGTCTACTGGCCGTTTTGTGGCAATTTGCGAACCAAGCGTGCCTTTAAGACCACATAAAAGAATACGCACGTCGACGTTTATGATGTTCAGATTTTTGTAAGCGTCGATTATAGTGAGCCTGTGGCGCACCGCTTTCTTATCCAACACCGGAAGAGGACAGAAATGGACGTACAACGTGTTCTGTACATGGCATTGTATTTGTGGAAATATGCGTAGCAAACGAAACGGATTCGAACAAATTAGCAACCCGGTCTTGGTCATGATACAGTAATTTATTTACGTTGCGTAGTTTCAGAGAATATTTTCATCAGTTGGCAAATGAAAACGGTACGATTTAACTAAACAAACAATGCGCAGAATTTAGGGCATTATCAGAGTTGAAATCGTAGCGACGATGCAGGTGACAGTTTACAAAACACGGTTTGAAAATTAATGAAACATGCAATATCATCTTGGACGGAATTTCATCATTAAATGATATTTCGTACTAGAGCCGATAAGCGATGACACTGATAACTCGAGTTGTTATTGTGATATGTCGTCGGTTGATCGGATTTGGCGATAATGTGAGTTCAAATCGTTTTACTATTTCATAGTTCCGTTGAAAAGTTGGAAAAGTCAATTATAAATGGTACCTAGTAAATATTTGTGAACAAGTATTAATCGAAGTGCAGAATCGTACAGTATAATCCGTATGATGTACAATAGACCTCAGTTGTAATTTTTCTGTAAAGCGTCCACACCAAACATTTTTCTAACGTTTGGCCGAACATAAGTTAAACATCTAAAGCATTCAACAAACATGTTTATCGAACGTTTTATGGGTACAGATGGTGTTCCTAGATAATTTTGTTCGTCAATGTTCCAAACATAATTGTTCGTTCATTATGTCATACATATTTGAGAAACAAAACTTTCATACAAATAACTGATTATTTACTTTGTATAATATTTTTTTATTTCATATATACACTTAAGAACTGGGGTTAATAATTAAAATTAACCTCCTCCTTGAAGTTAAATAAAAACTGACACTAGTATCATCTATGTACAATGAATTCCGTGTAATAAGGGCAAAATGGTCTGGTCCCAAATCCAGTGTATACTAACAAGGTTAAAAAAAAAACCGTACGAGTACTCAGTTTAGTTTATATGGGCAATATTTATTTTATCACAGCGTTGGAATATGTTTCAACAAATAATACAATTGGTTTTTGTTGTATTTATGTGATTGTGTTTATCAAAAGTAATAAAAATCATTAACTTTTGAACCCTAATGGGATTTCGTTGTGAATTTAATTAAATGTATATTGAATGTTATCGAAAACAATATAAAAAAAGAAAAATCAAAAACATCAAACGATAAACTTATAGCAATCTTTCCCTAATTTGACAACTATCATTTTAGTTTTACCGTGAATTTCAATGCAATCGTTTTCGACTGTCTAGAAAAGATCTTTCCCTCAAAAAAAAAATTGGTGATCTTGGATAAAGTGAAGATTTTTCTCCAGGCACTTAACAACATAAAATCTCTGAAAAATAATTAATTTTGTGTGGAGGGCTTAACATTGTTCTAAAAAATAAATAATTTTATAATACTATAAAAAATACATATTAGGTATGAATTAATTATATTATTATGTATTATATTATATTATTACCATAAATCCAAATTAAGAGTTATTTACAACCACATCATATAAATTAATTTTCTCTTTATATTTTTATAGTTGGTCAATTATGGCTTTAGAATCTTTTTTTTCTTCTAGGGGGTTGAGACTCAGGAACCCTCCACCAAAAAAAATACGCCAGTGAATATAACATGTTATTAAAAATGAAAAACTTCTGTTACACAAATAAAAAATAAAAACCTTTTTCAGTAGAACACAGATAAGTAGTTTTTAAAAAAGTTATATTTGATATATTATATTATCAAGTCACAATAACTTTTGAGTTGTCACCATTATTAAATGATTAAAATCATACATAATTATTTAAAGTAGAGCATATAAATTTATAAGCTATTAAAACTTAATTTCATATCTATAACTAACATATAACTAACATTTCTAATTTTGATGACCAAAACATATGCAAAAACTACTATATCAATTACTTAAGTTAAAACATAGACAAAAAATAAAATCAATATAATTTAAACAAAAAATTCAGGAAATATATGCCTTAATATTTAATTTAATATAATGTAAATAAAGTTATTAATCTCAATTTATTAACATAAAATCAATTATTTTTTCACTCTATACTAAAAGATTTGATAAAATTTTTAATTCTAATAAAATAACCTTGAAAATTAATTGGGTTTACAAATTCCGAAAGATTTGAAATATCTATGTTAACACAATATTGTATTATTATTATATTAATATTCAGTTTATTTTAATTCCAAATCAAATTTGTAATATTTTTAATAATCAATACATTATACTGTGTTATATAAAAACTATATTATAAACAAGTGTTTATGCAAACATTTTTAAGAATGAAGAATGCTTTTTCCAATCTCTTTAATTTTATCCCTTGATGTAACCAAACTGAATGCTGTTGCTAAACTGAAACCAATTAAACCACCAATGCCACATCTTCTAAGACCACCTGAAACAATAAAATTTTTGTTATCCATCAAACATACCATAAATTCCAAAACTTTTTTACATAATAATATGAGTTTAGATCTATAAGAGAAATTTAATTAACAGTTATTCTATGTTACTGATCATTGCCATTGTTAATGAGGCAATCATAATAAACTCATTGTATCAAGTATATAAAAATTATTTATAACATCCAATATATGTAATAAACGCAACATAAATGAATAAATTGAATGTATTGTAATTAAATTTAATCAGTAATTGACAAGTAACCAGATTTTACATCTTCGTCAAATACAATAAATTTCAATTGAAAAACCTCAAGTTTTAAAAAAAATCAAAAAAATTACAGAATATTTTTTTTAAATATGTTTTAGTTTAACAATATTTAGTGAGGTATGTAAATATGTAACTGTAGTACATAAAATACTTTTTTCCCAAAATAAATATGTTGTAAAATATATACTGTCATTAGTAATTTAGTAGTCATTCGCTCTCTGCTATATTTAAAAATAATTAAAAAAAATATACAAATGTTAGAAGTTCCTAAGCCTACTCATTACATTCTGTTTATCATTTATTCGATTAACTGTCATTAACCGGTCTTACAATGGCAGTTAATCGACTTTCTACTGTATTTTAACTTATATAACTATCAATAGAAATTCAAATTAAAATATGTACTTTATTTAAATTTTAAGACATTTAAATACCATTTTTTTCTTAACTTAAAACTAAGAATATTTCTAAAATGCTAACTTGTGGATTTGTATAGAAGTCCAGTGCTTGTTCCAGCAACAATTGTGTTGAGCTCATCTTCACAGCCACGAGTTTTTTCTAATATGATACCAAAAATACTATAGTATACAGATAATGTTCCAAATGTATTAGCCAGGCGAGCTCCATTTTTAAAAACACTATTTAAGATTCTAAAAATTGTATAATAATTTTAATAATATTTAGTCAATACCAATAAAATAATACAATTCAAATATCATACTGAGTTCTATTGTAAGTACTAGTTTGATTTTCCATTGATGTTAATTTTATACCGCTGTATATTCCACGTATACCTCCAATTGTAGCACCTATCAAGCATGATGTACCAATTTGGGTAAAGGATAATTCAAAACGTCCACGTTGTTTAGAACCAGCACCTTCCAGAAATATATATTCTGGTTGAGATGATTGAGGTAGTAGTTGTGGGTCAAAGTTTAAGTATGGAGATGGAACTGATGGAAAGTTGTTTATTATTCCTCGATTGGCTAATTGAAAAAACATAAAAAAATGAATTAAAAAATAATAAATAAATCAGTACTAATATTTATCAAACAAATTAAGTTGGTTAAATTATCACCAAAACTTCTATCAAAAAAATTATTCTTTTACAATTATTTAGTACATTATCATTTATCTTAAATCATTATTAAACAAATATAACAGATTATTAAGAAACTGATATTGAGTAGAATGAAACATAAATAAATTCAGTTTATGTTACTCAAAATGAAGTGTTGACGACTATAGTCATATATTAATTTGTGTAAGTTACAATGAATAATAATGAAAATTATTCAAAGCAAATGTTTGAATGAATAAGTAAAAATATAAAAATAATAAATTAATTAACACAATTTGTTGGTAATTTAAAATGTGTGCCATAAATAAGGTTTTTTTTAATATGTTAAAGTACCTTTTGTAAAATATATTATTTTCATTATTATGAAGTATCTATGTCTAAAAATATTAATTTCTTACAAACATGAGCTCAAGATATACATAAACATGGTAATATCTACAAAAGATAAATTAATTTCATAATTAACACGTACATTGGGTGTGACACACAAGATGCCAATTTGTGTTTTATATATACTGTTGGTAAATTTGTAATTATTCAATGCAAATAGCTGAATGCGGTTTTATGCTTGGTCAACGTCATATTAGGATGTTTCAAAATATAAATGCATGGGCTATTTTTGCTAATCTGTAGATTATATCATAATAATTAGGGCTCGGATTTTAAAGCAAATGCTTCTTTTTAAATATTTAAGAAATCTAATTTTTATACATAAGTTCATAAGTTAATCTGATTCGAAATAAACAAATTTATTTTTGCTTTTTTTAGTATAAATGCTTTTTTTGCTTTTTTCAGTTATTCTAGCTGTGGAATTTTTGTTTGTTTGTTATGCTATAGTAATGAAAAAAATGTTTATATAATTTATAAGAAATGTGAAAATCCGCAGTAATAATTATAAAATTAATATAAATATAGATATTATATTTTATCCATCGCCGGATTGTAACCGTACCATTAGTGTGGAACGACCTTAAACGTATAGATTATCGATCTACAGACACAACTTAGAAGTCGATAGCTTATCGGCTATTGCATATAGCCCGTAGAAACTACTCTCAGTACTTAGTAATCGTATAACATCGATATCGAAGTATGCACCTATTACTTTGGTAAATATAGAGCGGTCATTTTCTATGTATAAAAACATCCTGTCAGACAATAGTCAGTTTCACTTCTGAAAATCTTGCCAAATACATGGTTGTAAATTCTTTTTTTAATTTAAATAAATTTTTAAATTTTTTTTATTCAGTTTTATAAAATTATAACTACCTAATTTATATATATATTTTGTCATGCTTTTTTTTGCTTTTTTTAAAAATAAATATGATTCATTTTTGCTTTTTTTAAACAATTTTGTGCTTTTTTTGTTATTTATTATGCTTTAAAATCTGAGCCCTAATAATAATAAAAAAAATAACATGAACCCTGGGGTGGTAGGCCAAAAATCATGTGCACAGTGAACGTGTTAAGACTTGAACTAGAGAAAATATTACAGGGTTCCATTGATAAAGCTTAGCATCGAGGTGAGAGGCTCATTTTTCAAATAATTTGTTGATCAATTGGAAGTACAAGAAAAAGAATTACTGTTCATGTATCAGATTGAGATATATAGTAATATATTATATGAATTATAGTGGTCAGCAAAAGAGATTTAGAAAATAAAGTGCTTAAATACAGTCTTGCAGTTTTAAAATCAAAGAAATCTGTCAGGACTCACTTAAGTTGTTTGCAAGCTTTCACAGTATACAAATCCTAAACAACCAAGCCATACCGAAACCCGGTCAGAAGAGAGCACAAAATAGGTTAGAAATCAGTAGCACCTAAGTTTTTATTTCTTAAATTATAGAATACAAGTTAGGTAATGTTACTATAATGTATCTATCATAAGAATTATTTTAAATTATTTTAATTTAATTATTTAAAAAAAAAATCGATAGGCAAATACTTCTATGAACATTTAAACCTGAAACGTGTTTTAAAAAATAAATACATAATACCTTTGTCATCATCCTCTATACTGAACATGTTTGCGTTTGAAGGTGCTAAAGTGGTGGACGATAGAACTGTTCGGCCAGTATCTGAATTCGCTGGAAACGAGTGTATGTACACACGGTGAGGAATGAACAGAATACAATCAGGAGTACAGAGCGTACGAATAGACGCACCGAAATACCGCTAAATTGTACCTGCGACCAGGATCGACGTTGACAAGAACAGCGGTACAATCGAAAAAAACAGAGATTCGAGGATGTCTTTCAACCCAAGGAAAATACTTATTTGATGGTTATGTTTTATCAACGCAAATATAATATTCGGGTAATCAATGATAACGCGGTGCCCTACTGGTAGTGTAGCATTACAGCGGATCGCGAAATATCCGACCGGCGCCCAATCACTATGGAGGTAGCTTGGAGGTCATCCCTCAATTTTGGTCATCCATGGCTTCCTAGTCAGCAGTGTTTTGGAGTACAATATGTAACGTCAATATAATTAATCATTTAATAAAGAGTCAAACGAGATGTTTCTGAACATTTTGTGTAATTCATGCAGGAAAACGTTTGTTCGCAAATATAAGTAGAACCAAATAATGTAAATATACCTACGCATTGATAATTTTTTAATTTTTGGAAAATTATCAGGAAGTTTTCACCTGCAGTTTTGAATATCGAAAACAAACTATAGTCGCTATAGCGACTATCGTGGAAATAATCAGTACCTACTTTAAACGCATATGGTATAGAAGTATTAATATAATTTTGAATGAGGCCTACAGATTGAATAAGGTTAGACATGCATAGTCCAGTATCTAATACACAAGTATGATAAATATTATTTAAAAAGTTCTTTAGTTGACATTTGGAAGTTCACATTTCATTAAATCAAAGTATCTACTTATTTAAACAACATATTAGATAACATATTAAACATTTGTGCATAGTAGTTGTAGTAATAAAAATTGTCAAGAGTATTTTAATATTTTCATCAGAAGCATCTTTAATACATTTAAACACTAGTGGCTAGTTCATTTTTGTTCTCTCGGAAAACGTGTAGTAATTGGTTTTTAACAAATATTTCAAACGCAAATCAAATTTGTATTGTGTATTTCCAAACAATTTTTAATTTGGAGTGCTACCAAAATTAAAGATTTAAGCATCGACGTGTGAATAATTAATGTTTGCGTTATTCTCAGCAGACATTTTTTGACGTTGATAATGTTCCATTGACGTATCAGCTGATTTATATAATTATACTTCACCGACTGATCAGCTTTCCACGTACGATTTTCAGGGTTACATTGTGTATTGTATCTCGGTCCGTTGAAACGTTATGTTATAAATGTACCTATTGTCATTGTTGATCTCATCGTAAATCTATGCAAACATAATACTGGTTGGGCTAAATCCAATGCATATCTTGTACGTATAGTTGAATTGGAAAAAAATGTTTACTCGTTATATAATAATTGTTACTATAGACACACACATACTTTTTTAATTATCTATCTACCTATTATGTAAAATGTCCACTATTTTATGCTACCTATTTATCTCTAATCACTATTTGTATACCATTTACACATATTAATTAATCGTTATAGTATCTCACCCTATCGAAAACGGTAACAAATATTTTATTCATTATCTTTGTTTTATCAAAGTCTGTATTAGGCTATAGTATATGGCATCTATCCAAGATCTCTACGGTATTTATAATAAACATCATTACTTTCTAGAACAGTCATTTTTTTAATTTAATTTTATAACATAACGTCACCTGTCATTATTTTTAATTCCATAGAGAGATTAAAAACTTTTTTAGATTTAGAATACCTACGTTTTTATTTCTAAGTATGAGGTTTTATTCCTTTTTTCCTTTTGTTTTTATTAAAATTTAAGCATACTAAGTAGTACATAACGCTATTTCGCTTCTAAAATTACTATTTAAAATAATATATTATTAAACAGGAGATGTAATTTAATTAATCATTATAATACTAAAAACTAAGTAAGGATAAAAAGTCAAAATAAAAATTCAGGGAATTCAAATTGTCATCAGTAGTAAAAAAAAAAACATTTTAAATATAGTTTTACGACATAAGAGCTATAACTGTAGTAATTTGCGTTGCATAAAGAGACGTATATAGGTACGTTATTTTTCATATTTTTCTATTTCAAATGTGAAATGTTCATAATATTCATATGTATATTTTAATTACAATATGATAAATATGTTGATAAACTCCAAACAACTATCCTGGTAAATTACTTTTAATTTTTGTATTATTATTACTTATCAACAACGAGCGATTTAAAATCATTAGGACAAGTTAATCACAATTAGTTTTTATATTTATTAAAAATGTTTTTTTAAATTATATAATAATACCTAATTAAAGTATTCGATTAATTAATAATTACTACAGACGCATAGATAGAAATTTCTAAGGGGGAGGGGGTGGGTGTTATTCAAAATGAATTGATAAAATTATACACACGAAATTGATTACTTTACATATATTTAAATTTTTCACATACCTATATATTATTATAATTAGACCGCGGATTTCTATGCAATCGCATATTTTTTTCCTTTCAATATTTTTGGATTTTTGTCAGTTATCTCCACGAATCATCATAATATGAAGCTAATGGTGACATTTTTTTTGCATATTTTGGCAAAATTCAAAATTTATTGCATATTGGAGTGAAAATTTAAAAAAAATATATAAAATAACATTTTGTCTAGTAGAAAAATTAAAAATAAATTTCATAGTCACTAAATAATAATTTATATATATAGTTATAAAATAAATAATCGATTACGACGTAAACTTAATCGCTCTTGCTGTGTCAGTCGATTATCGACATACTACTTGCTTCAAATATGCCCTAATAACTTCGATTGACATCGAGGATTCGTTTTCAGTTTTTAAAAATATGTTAACCGATAAACGACACAGCTTCACTGAAGATAAACATGAAATGCATATGTTTATTTATTTTAATAATAAATAAAATTTTAAAAATAAATTAAGTTCAGAAAATTCCCTAAATTTTTTTGTATTAAGTATTTAAGTAATTAATTTTTATAAGTTGAATTATAAATTTTAAATAAATAAAAAATTCTTGCATACTTTTTGCATATTTTCATGATTTTTTCTGCATATTATATGGCATATTTCGATACTTTTGAGTGCATACAAATCCGTGCTCTAATTATAATTAATACAAAAAATATATATTTTTAATTAAATTAACTTAATGCGTCTACTTTTTAAAGCTAGAGTATCTATTATTTCGTCGGTGATTACGACTAAATCCCGATGAATATTCATAACTGCTAAGTCGTTCAACTGATTTTCACCAGTTGTGTTCCTCAAATATGTTTTTAATTGCCGTAAAGAGGAAAAAGATTTTTCACTGCTTGCAGTGGTTACTGGTAAAGTAATCAATATTTTTAATAGTCGATGAACAATAGGAAATATTTATTATTGTGTAATGCCGAAAGTACAACAGTCTACTACTAGCTGACTAAAAAATTTTGTTTCAGAGTTTAAAGATACATTTACATCCGATGGTCACGTTTTATTTTGTGTACTATGTGGTAATTTTTTTTTTTAATGCATATTTTAATGATTTTAGAAGCATATTTGTGTATTTTTTAGAGCTATAAGTCCCTAAACCTAGTAATTACTAATTAATGCCGGACCCCGGCTTTAATGCTTTACATTATCGTTATCATAATATATATTTCATTTTGATAAATAAGTGGAAATCACGGCTTATGATGCATCTTTATTTTGATAAAATATTTTAAGTATACCGCGGCTGAGGGGGGTGTTACTACACTTGTAACACCCCTCTGGCTACGCGCCTGAATTACTAAATACAAATAATATGCAGATCAATTTATGTATACCTATTTATATAGAAGTACCACAGTAACAACACGTAGTCATTAGATTTATATATTTATTAGGACGGTAATATTTCTACATTATATTAGATATTGTTAGTGATAATTCAATTCAATTTGAATCAATCGGATGTGATTATTTAAAATAACGAGCGATTTATTTAAAACTATGAATAATATTTCAATTTGACAATGTGACATGGAATGTCGTCAATGGATTGCCAGGCCTCTGATCTTATATTCAATGTTTGTCTCCATGCTAATGTAGAACTCTTATCACATATGTGCATTATATCAATCTAGTAGAAATCGTATAAATAACGGAAAAAATTAACAATTATGTTGCCATTTTAGAGTTAAAAAGTGTTTCATAACTTTTACAAGATTACTCTTTATTCAGTTAAATCATTTTATGTACTCGTATAGTTACTACTTTTAGCTATAGTATCTACTATAGTACAAAAGTTAAATACTCACTATAGTATAAAAATAATAATGAGTATAATAATTTATTTATTTCATTGTATTGTATTAGGGAATCATTTCTAAAATTTACATAAATCGATTACGAGTATACCATTGTCAAAGGAATATGAATGAGAACAGTTAAAATATTCAGAGATAAGAAAAACTAAAGTTATGTTTTACATCATAATGGTTTATATTTAGTATACTTGTATATAATATATGTATCGTGTACCATTATTGTGTTTTTTATGATTGTAAATTAGTACTACAGTGAAATGTTTTATAAATTATGTTGGAATTGATAATCGAAATTTTATAAGTGAATCATTTTATTCGAAAACTTAGAACTCTAAAAATGTAAAATATTATTTTAATTAATGACCATTACATTTTTATTATATAATTAGTGATAAAATATAAAGGATTTTTTTATTGTATATGGAAAATATTTTAAAATATAATCATGTAGTTAGAATAATATTATTTAGTATTTTGAGTTTTTTTAATAACAAATCAGCAATTATTCAAAGGACATTAAAATGTTTCTTAACTGTTTATGTTTTGTAATATTGAATGTATAAACTTTTAATTTACCTACCGGATATGTCACTTATTCTTAAAATTATATCTTGAATATTAAATAATGCAGGTAATATATAATGAACAATTTGATAGTTTAAACACTTTTAATCAAATTAATTAGCAATTAAAGATAAATCTTATACCTAAACATTAAGTATTGAACATTTTTTTTTATACGTTGCGATAATGATAATGGCGATGCATGATGCGTGAGTCTACTTTTTTTTGTGTATTATTAAATTTATGAACAATATACATTGTAAAATTGAATTGGTATTTTGATTTACATGTATATATAATTATATTATTTTAGAAAAATATATGACCCAGTCACTAGTGGGTTACTTCTTAATCACGCGTATCATGTGTTATAGATTTTATCACTTATAATTATTATGCTAAGTAGTATAGAATAAGTAGTAATATAAAAAAAATATATATAAAAATATTATGGAAAAAAATAGGTAGTTTGTGATATTTAATTATTATAAAATATTTCTACCAAAATAATTAAAAAAAAACATATAAATACAAAAACAATATTTATTTTTTTCTTAAAAACCCATAAAAATACTAAATAAAAATTCTAATTATCTAGCTAATACCAACTCGATATAAAACGTTATTTAACAATATTTATTAATAACTCTTGTTTTTGGATTAAATTAAATATGGCAAAACTTTCTTATATAATATACTCGTATACAAGAATATGTACGATATACAGATACATATATTATGTACCTATATGATAAAATAATAATAATAATAATTATTATTATTACACTTATTATTATTTTTTTATTCATCACCATACTGTGAGGATGACAGGATGGATAATTTTTCAATGATTTTTAATTTACAATAATCAAATAGTTAATTAAAAGAAGTATTTAAAATTTTAATATATTAGATAATAGCATTAATACTAGAAAAATATTAGATAATGGAGATTTGGCGAAAGTTTTGAATTCATTATAAATGTATTTCGAGGATGATAAATATTAAGATATATACTTAGTATAATCATTGGGCTTTAACCATAGCTTATAACACTTAAATTCATGAATAATTGATGGTATTGTATATTAAAAATAATTAGTATAAATTAATATGTATTAATATTTACATATTTAATAAACGTCACGTGCGATGAATAACGGTGTAAACATGAAAATTATTAAAAGTACCTATTTAACAACCAAGTTATATCAGCACTGACATTAAACTATTTCAAAGTAATTTGAATTTATTAATTTTCCAAGGTCAAAAAATAAAACATTGATTTGTTTTTTTATATTATAAATAATGATTCTTACCAATGAACTATCATTTGTATTATGTATTAATTGTCTAATTAACGAAAAAATGGATTTTCACCACAGGAAGGTCACGCAATCAATGATACGCGATAATATACACAGACATATTAATATATGTCTATGATAAAATAGTATAGGTACCTACACATTTAGAACGATGAAAGATTATGGCAATGTAGTCTTCAAAACGGTTTTAAATTTATTATGTAGAAAGAAAATATTCAACAAAAAGTTCAAGCGTAAGACTGTTGTAGAGGGGATGCTGGGGAAATATATCTCCCGATGGGATTTTTTTTTTAGTCTTAAACGTTTAAAAACGTATTTAAGAAATACGACGGGGCAGTCACGGTTAAATACATTGGCGTTAATGAACATACATCGAGATATTCCATTATCTAACAAAAAAAAATTGATGAATAAAGTGTAAAAACCTAAAGGATGAATTTCCGCCTTGATTGCATTTTTTTTTGTACAATTATAAAAAATAAAGATTGAAAATAATAAATTTTTATTTATGAAATCCCCCCTCCCCCATACCCAATTTCTGCGCACGCCACTGCACAGCAGTGACGGATTACGCATTTTTTCGCCATGGGGGTGTTTTTTTGGCGCCCCCCCTCCCCCACTACTCCACTAGACAACATAAAATATTTTAACTTTAACTCGTCAGCTCGCCAAACTTTTGACTGCAGTTGTGACCTATATGGATACTTTTTCTTAAAAATGTTTTCAAAAAATTATTTTTAGTAACTTAAAATAAACGAAAATACAGTCAACCCATTGGTTCATGAGGCGCCCTTTTAGACCTGGCGCCCTGGGGCAGCTGCCCCGTGTGTAGATCCGCCACTGCTGCACAGCACATTGTGTGTGTGTGTGTGTGTGTGTTATTAAGTTCATTCCAATATTCAATCATATTGTCGAACATATTATGAAGCAATGTTACGATTTCAAATTGAAATACGATACAACAATTGTGTACCACACGCTAAAAGTTCGTAGACCAAGCGCGTTTAGCGTACGTATTCCCAATCTAAACATTGGCCGCCGCGTGTCACCAGTTAAACTGTTGAAAGCACTGCACCGAAGCGGTTTCCGAGAAGAAAAAAAAATACCGTTTATCGTTGCTAAATTATCACGGCCATAATCTTCGCTCGCACTCGGCGCGGCACACATAGCACGAATTTATTTTTAATACTTAGAATTGATTGTGAAATTCTACGGAGAATATTAAATCGGGCAGTACCCTACGTCTATTACATCGTAATAAGATACTAATCTGCGATGTTTGTTCAAGCGAACGATGTACGTTGGCATTAACGCTGTGCGTTACGTTGGGCGAAACAGAACTCGAACATCGGTGTGATATTAAACTCTTCACCAGGGCTGCTCTCGTTTCCGCGGCCGGTCGGTGGACACGCGCGCGGGCCGCGGACGTCGTGCCGTGGAAAAACTCGGACGTCGACTGAAACACCAATCGCACATCATAACACCTATGCGGGCCGTTCGAACGCATCATGTCCCGTACGCGTGAACATGGCGTTCGCCAAAAGAATTCAAAATTGATTTCTCCGAAAATATTTCCTGTTCGCGCCCGCCCGAGGGTCCACCGAACGTGTTCGGAGATTGTGTATTCGTGATACGCTTGCCGCCGGTGGGAAATAATAGTAATAATAAAAAAATAAAATTACGTACGCCGTCTAACCGCGCCACGTACGACCGAGGCGGAGGCGACGGCGGCGGCGGTGGTGGTTCGAATATACGCGGGAACCGCGCGCATTCCAACAGTGCCTGGTGGAGAGGGATCCGGTGTGTTAACGCGCGCGCACCCATCTCTCGGAAAGCGTGCCGTGCGTGCGTGCGACGACACATCGTGCCCGTAGCGCTCCTATACGTACGTTGTTATTTTCCTGCGCCAGTAAACGATAAACAAATAATAACAACAAAGTGATATACATTTCGGTGATAATAATGTTATACGGCAAAAATAATTTATTATTATTATTATTTATCGTATTGGTGCATTCGTAACAAATAATAACAGTTACGCCAACGATAACTATTATTATTATTATTATTATTATTATTATTATTAATCTCCGACACCTTTTCTCGCTCACTCAGCCTCTCGCACACTCACTCATTCTCTCTCCGTCATACACACACGCGCACACACAACATACACACATGCACACGCTCTCCCACTCTTTCTCTCTCTCGCTCACTCCATCTCTCTCTACCGTTTTTTTTCTTTCTCTTTTTTCCCCGTTCGTTTCGCGTTAACACCGTGTCGTACACGTTATATTGTTATTATAATTTATAATAATAATAATAATAATAACATTAACAGTATATCGTGTTTGTGTTCGCGGTTTAAACTCTATTCTCTTTCGGCCGTGTACTCACTCGTCGTGTACTCGCGCGCCGTGGGCACAAGTGTTCGAACGAGTGAAGGACACTTTCTTTACCGGGCCCGTTCCGTCAACCGGACACGACGAACGCCGCGTGCACACTGCGATCATCGTCCCGGCGTAACTATATGGTGTTTTCGGACCAAATTAACCGCACGGACGTACACAGGACACCACGCGAGGTGAAGAAACAAATGTTTAAATGGAAGCATCTTCAATTATCACCCAAGTGTCGCGCGAAGATGAACACCTAAAGAGTTTCGTGCCGGACAAGGGTAAGATGATTTCTTCTTAATCCCGCTATCACTGTTTCTCATTCTCTTCCACCCTCTTTCTCTCTGTTTTTTTTACTGGCACCCGACGTTCTCATTAATACCCATGTATGCCTAAGTATTATTTAGAAACCGTTTGGTCGTGATCGAGGATTTGATACGATACCTACTAAAGGATAACATGTTACTTTTCAATTTCAATGAAAACAATCGCTGCATGACTATATATATATATATATTTCATTGTAACTACTGCTTAGATTTTCTTTAATCGCTTTTATTAAGAATGAAATATAATACTGGATGATCGATTTAACGTTTCATACTTGAACATTGATTCCAAACAATGATTTGGTGAAAAATTAATCAACTACTTTCACTGTTTTAATTTCAATTAAATTGAACAACTATAGTTTGGTTTGTTTCAAGATTTTCTGTAATTTTTCATTTGGAATAGATTGCAATCATATGAACTAATTTTATTTTATTTAATAATGTATATAGCCCCCACTCATATTATTATTTATCGATAATGACTAAAATGTCTTATATAGTAATAAAATAATAAAAAATCAAATAAAACTTAGCAAATGGTTAATATTCATAAATTATTGTATAAATAGTTTATATATTATTATTATTCTAATTGTAAATCAATTTTTTTATTGATTCTATTTATATTCATAATTCAATTTGTATAATAATAGTTTATATGTTATTTACTGGTTTTTACTAAATCTTATGTCTTTCACTTCATCTGTCTTTTCAAAAGGATTTATTCCGTTTATTATATTTGTTTAAATTTGTGTGTGCATTAGATGTATAAAATCAATTAAATCTCGACTTTACAAATATAATTATACTCCAGCCTTAGCATTGATTTATTTATATATGTATAAATTATTTGTTTATTATCTTTAATAGTGTTAATGAATCTTATAGATAAAAATACAAGGTCATAATTTAAATATTACATGCAAATTAAGAGAATCTTAGCCATTTTAAAAATAAAAGACAAGTTTTGATATTTAGTTAAACTATTTTAGTAATTGTAGATACTAAATTTATTGAGAAATACTTGAAATTCAAATTTTTTTTTTGTTAGCTGTAAATTGGAATAATACATTCGAGTCATGTTTTTATTGACTTTGTTCCTTTGGTTTCAAATTAAAAATTCATCATTGGGTATATAAAAAGTGAATAAAATCGCAACTCAATTGCTTTAAACTTGATGATGAATTTTTAATTTGAAACTGGTCATACTTTATTAATATAATAATACTCCAGGCTAAGCATTTATTTATATATATAAACTATTTTTTTATTTATTTATATATTAATTTAGAAGTATGAACTGTTAAATAATTTTTAATTTTAATTTTATGTTTTATTATCTATATATAGATAGATTTGTCATTCGTCTCAGTTTTAATAGGATGTTCCAATGTCCCTATTGGTCATTCAGTTAATACTAGACTTTTATTTCAGTTATTAGAAGCCGAGAAAAAATAATATACATTGAAACTAAACTGTATTATTTAATAATAAAACAGAATAATATTGTATATTACATCATTTTATCATTATCTTGTTTATGTTATCTGATCTCAGTTACAAATCAACAATTCATTTTACAGTTTATCTTTTGTATGTCAGAAACTTCTGATCTAATTAAAAGAATTTTCTCTCATGAATAAAATTTGGTCATCAAAGGGATAAATTGAATGAAAATAAATATAGCATGAGGTCTGTAAAATTAATTCTGGTTTAACTTGTAACAATATTTAAGATAAATATTAAAAATTATAAAACTGTATTGAAGAAAATTAATTTAAGTGTGAAGTATTATAATTGATAAACAATAAGTAACAACTAATAACAGTGTAAAATAATATAAAAATAATACTAATAAAATAATATTGATTGTGTGTATTAATTTATAAATATTTAAATTTAAAAAAAGTTGAACTTATATTTAATTAAAGTGTTTCCATAAATCGTACTTCTAAAAGAACTAAAAGATCATTCAGTATTATATTTTGGTTTGGGAATTTTATAATTTGGTAACCCTATATATAATTATCTTAAATTTAAAGTATTTTTTTTCTTATTTGAATAATTTGAATTTGAGTAATGAAAATGGTACATAATATTATACTTATGTAATAAAAATAATCCAATTATTGATGTTTTAAAATAATACATGTTACCAATTTATATTATCGATTTTGATACAAAAGATTTTAATAGTGAATTTATTACATTTTGTAATTATTTGTAATTATATACTTATTATAATGACATTTAATAAACATCCAGGGAGTATTTATAAATGTTTTATTCAAAGACTTATAGTTTTATGAATAATTCAATTAATTACAATATTGAAGATTAAATCAATGTATTACCCAAAATAAAACAAATAAATGAATACAATTAATTATATAGCAACATTTTTCTTTTATCTAAATTTTTAAAATTAAGTAACCCAAATTATATATTCTTATTTTATATTTGTAGTATGATTTTTATTGTACTAAGTATTTAAAAAACATTTGCAATAATTTGTAGTTTTATGATTATTATGCAATTTAGATTTACTAATCATGCAATCTGACCTTCTTATAATGGACAAATTCTACTTTTAAATTATAAAATAATTGTTCTGACCTTATACAATTTTAAATTTATTATTAATTTTTTCACTTAGAATTATTATAATTAAATGTTGATTAATAATTATTTATTAATTTTTTTATTAATACTTAGGCTTAGGAAAATGTTTATTTAAAAAATCAAAATTTTATTCAGTGATTTTTATTTTTTTTATCTTATAACAGTAAAACAAGTATAGGTAATATTTACATATTTATGAATAAATATATTGAACAAGACTAATGAATTAATACTTTATAATAAATTAGAACGATACATAGTATATTATAATGTATAATTCAAATATATAATTCATCTGTTAAGATATTTAGTACATTTATGGTAATATTTTACACTTATTCTATGATAAACATTAAAAAAAAAAGAGAAGAAAATGGTAAAAACATATTTTAACTTTTTATTGTTTATATAGTTAAAGTTATTCTAGGATATTAACAATTATTATGACATAGATTACATAATTATAATTCCTCTTTTCAAAAAAAAAAAAAAAAAAAGTATTAAAAACTTATGATATTGAAGTAATCCAATGTTAATTAAAATTATTTGTTTTGTTATATTATGTGCTAGTATGTATTGGTAGCTTTTAGATATATTTCATTTGATTTATATTGATTTTATGTGATTATTCTAGGTAATCATGTACGGATGAAAAATGAACGAGGTTTATGGCAAACATTATTATGCTGTTTTGGAAAATCAAGAACTAGACCAAATAGTTCTAGTTTTGCCCCAAGCAATAGTATTCGTGGAGTAAATGCTAAGCCTGAAAGAAGTTTTACTCCACCTCTTCTTAGCCCAGATCCTACACAATCGTCTTACTTACTTCCTGCAATAAGACACCAAGACATGCATAAAAAATGTATGGTTATTGATCTTGATGAAACGCTTGTACACAGCTCTTTTAAGGTACCTTAATAGTAGAGTATATTTTTTATAAAAAAAAATAATAATAAATATTAAAACCTATAATTATCTTAATTATTAATTAAAAATGTCTAGGCAATTAATAATGCAGATTTTGTAGTACCTGTTGAAATAGATGGTACTGTCCATCAAGTATATGTTTTAAAGAGGCCACATGTTGATGAATTTCTTCAACGTATGGGGGAACTTTATGAATGTGTATTATTTACTGCCAGTCTTGCCAAGGTAAATTTATTAGTATCACTTACAACTTTTCTTTCATTATATTGATATTAAATAAAGATTTCCATTTTATTTAAATAAAAATAATTAAAAATTATGGTTTTATAGTAATTTTTTTTTATTTATTTTTTATTTTTTTAGTATGCTGATCCGGTTGCCGATTTATTGGATAAATGGGGTGTATTCCGTGCCCGTTTATTCCGTGAATCATGTGTATTTTATAGAGGAAATTATGTAAAAGACTTGAATAAGTTAGGTCGTGCATTACATAAAGTTGTAATTATTGATAATTCACCTGCATCATATATTTTCCATCCAGATAATGCTGTATGTTTGATTATTTAATGTTTTGTGTGAAATTCAATATTAAATAAAAAAATTATTTCCTTAAATTTATATTTATAGGTTCCTGTTAATTCATGGTTTGATGATATGACTGATAAAGAATTGTTGCATTTAATTCCAATTTTTGAAAAACTTAGCAAAATGGAAAACGTTTACCCAGTTATTTGCAACATTAATGCATCTAATATGGCATCTCAATCTCAACAAATCAGCAGTGACAATGTTTTATAGCATCAATTTTTAAGTACAATTTATTTGTGCCAATGGTAAATTTTTTAATTTACCATGTTAAACAATAGTAATAATAATGTAACAATCTTATAGTATATACAAAAATTATGTTATGATTAGTTACCTAATTTAGGTAACATTTTAACTGTTTTATTTTTTTTTCTTGTTAAACTCTTTTGAGATAAATGTTTGGTTTTTGTTTTAAATTTAAAACAAAATAGTAAACAAATTTCATAGATAAGTATCATTCAAATGTTAACTGCCCGTGTTATAAATTGTATTTAAGAAATGTATATTTCTGTTTGTAATAAATTCAGTATAAATATTTTCAGTTATAAAATTAAATTACTTATTATTCATTCAAATAAATTTTGGACCAACTAAAATAAAACAATTTTATATAGTGTAATCTCATTTGCATTTACCAAAACATAATTAAAAAACTATTCCCACCAATCAAATTTGAATAAAATGTTAAATATTTTTAAACCATATAATATATACTATTATATTAAATGTATGAACTATATATTATATAATCAAATTCAAATTTATTTGTACAAATTAATTTGTCCATTTTTATAAAGAGTATTTTAATTTAAAATGTATAAAAGTTTAGGCTTTTTTTTTAAGAATTCTATTTTTAATTTAAATGGGATTTATTATTATGAAATTTTTACAAATTTATTGCAAACAATAAACGACCTATGAATAGGTTCACGAATTTATATTATAATATTAAATTATATTTTATTTAACTAAAATCAAACATTCTTTAATTTTAACTTTTTTTTTTTTGCAATAATACTTTTTAATATTTGTAATTAATACTTATAAGCTTATTCAAGAGGACACAATCTATATATTTTTTGATTTAAAATACTGTTTTGTGGTTACACATTTTGCAATACATTCAATAAATGTAACAATATTTTAAAGAATATGTACACAATACTTTCTATATTCAATAATAATTTAAAAATTTTTACTCTTGTGTATTGTGTAAGAATAAGAATATATCATATTTATTTAAGTATTTGTATAATCTTATGCTTGATATTAATTTGCTTATTTTTAATTTATAACCAATACTTTTAATATTTTAACAAAATTATAAGTTAACTTGTGCATTTAAAAAAATGACTGTGAAATTATTTTGTTTAATTTTGTTGTGGTCTCTTGAGATAATTAAAATAATTAAGTGTTTTTTATTTTAATGTATGATTTATTTTAGAATATTTAGTGGCTTATACTGGGAGAAGTGTATATTATTTGAAATTTGTACATGTTAACATAAAATGTTCAATTAAATGAAAGCAATTATTAAAAAGATATGTATTTTTGTACTTTTGATTTGAGTTAAAGAAATTCTTAAATATTGTAAACACAGTATTAATAAAACTTAAATATTACATTTATAGCACTTCTAATGTAACCTGTATATGCTGCAAAGATATTAAGAACACCAATGTCATACCAATAATTATTATTGCCTTAAAAAAAATCTTTGGCAATCTATAAGGTTTTTTTTTAAATTATTTTATTTTGTTTTCTTTTAAAATTATATTTACTTTTAACATTATACAAAATTAGTATTAACAATAGACTAGTATCTATAAATATATACATATATATTTTTTTTGTTATATTAGTAGTTACAATTAGAAGTTAAAAATGTTAAATTCTGTATGGATATTGTTATACAATCCCTTAATTTTGTTCTTGCTAATCAGTTTAATTTGATTTATTTTATATATATTATAATTTCAGATAATTCAATCTCTTGTTTATTTTTAATTTTTGTGTCTTCATGTGAAATCCATTACATTATCTAATAAATTAGGTACCTGTACACATATAAATTTCCATATTATTGTGTGCATACCGGTACCATCACAATTTGTGAATGCCAATTGTAATATAAGATCTACTATGCAAAATATTAAATAACAATCATTTATAATTAAGCACTATTTTGTGTAGTTAAAAGATAACTAATGATAAAAAGTAACTTTAATAGTGTTTCAACTTTTCAGTGATTTGTATTTACACTTTTTATCCTTAAATGCTTAATGCATTTTAACAATGCTTAGTTAAGTAATATATTTAAATTAATTTGAGTAACATATGTCATAGTGATGGGAACAAACAAGAGAAAATATTAGAAATACTCGATTGTTTGGTTTAATCAATTTTTTGGAAAATTATTGAATGATTCTCTGGGTATCGTAATTAGTTGAAAGTAACTACTAGATTTCAAAGTAAAATTAAAAAAAAAATTCTAGATCGATCGAGTAGTTAGAATTCTTCTCGGTTATTGAAATCATTAGTTTACAATTTAAGATAATTTAATGAAAAATGCTCAAATGCTTACAACTACTACTATCTACTAGTAGATAACCGTAATCACAATCGCACTCTTGTGCTATCATGACATTTTTTCTATTTATAAATCTTGGAGTAATTATTCTATGCTGTAAATCGAAAGATAATATTCATAAATGATAATTAATCCGAAAATAAAATTAAATATTTATCGTGTAGAATGAATTAGTAGTACCTATAACCTTACCTACCTACATAATATTTTGATATCATTATAATTGAATCGGTTTAAAAATAATAATGACAATTTATATTCTGAAAAAAAATTATTATAAAAATATCTCTCTAAGTATTTAATTATAGTATTAATTTTTTATGGATTTAGTTTTAATCAAAAAAAATCGATTTATTACAAATCGAAAAAGGACAACAATTTTCTGAATAATATTGTATTTAAATTTGTAATAGATGTTGCTAAATATTTAATTTTAATTAATTTATTTGTATTCTTTTGATAACCTTCTTAATTTATCATAACTTAAAGTAAGTACCTATAAAAAACCGTATTAATTATAATTTAAAAATCAACTAATATATATTATTTCTATGTGTTATTGTTGTTATAACAGTTTATTTTAATGATTAGGTATTTATAAAATATATACTAGGTTATACCAATATCATGTTATATCATTTTTTTAAATGTTTTATAATATCTACTATTTAAACTAAAAGCTAATGTCATGCAAATATTATAATGTAATTTATAATCAGCGACCACAGTCATCTACTCAGAGTAGAGAACCGTGCAAGCTACTGACTTTTTAATAAAGTATATGGTACTAGCCAATTGGTAGATAACTACTAAATGACTGAGAGATTTTTTGGAGACAATCTCTCGATTGGGTAAATTATCTTGATTATCAAAATCACTCGATTTTTCGCATCACTAATATGTCCAATATTATATATATATATAAACTTGTTTATGAATTATTTTTCAAATTTTAACCTAAAATTTTTTTTTATCTAATTTTACTTGGAATAAAAATAGATTAAATAATTGTCTATTTCTCTATGGAAGAAAGGAATATAAAAACAATTGTCTGTACAACTATATATATATATCTTAATATGTCTATGGTACAACTACTTATTAATATATGAACATTAGATCCATTATAAATATGTGTATACTATGTAATTAACATTTTGGGTTGTACATGCCACCGGTAAGTAGCAATAAAAATTAGCAAACTGAACTATAGTAGTCTATTTGAGGGCCTTTGTAAATGTGAAATGATAGAAAATATTATAATAAATACCACAAATACTTTATAAATAATTGAAATGCTTCATAAATTATACATTTGTTTCTATTATATACCATATGATGTGCCACTATTGTATAATTGAAATCTTAATATGACTATATTATAGTATTAAGTTCATGAACAACTGTATGGTAAAAGACTAAGTTATCAAAATATTTTAATAATGAGTTTCAACTTATTATTTATATTATTCTATATACTACTATTGCTACAATTATCAAATATTTATATTACGTATTTTGAAATAAGAATATAAACTAAAGGGAAATTTTCTTTGTTTAGGTTGAAAATTAGGGACAGTATGAAAACGATTTGCTTGGCTGTTTGTATAAAGTACTCCATCCGTGATAACATTCATAATATCAATGTTTTACAATTAACATCAAATTTTTAATATATTAAAACATTTGATACCCCTACAATACTGAAAAAAGTAATATGTTGTTGTTGTACATGTATTATTGAAATAATAATATTAAAAATAATCAGTACATAAGGTTATAATAGTCATTGAATCAAATATTTTATGTATGGAGAAAGAAAATTTCATTATTTAATAACTTTTTAAAAAAAAAAAGTAATACAAAGGGGTAATATACAATAATAAAAATTCGATATAAGGATATCCATTAAGGCGGTATACATAAAATATTTATAAATGGCAAAAAAAGAACATTAAGTACACTACTTAATGAAAAGTATAATATGTTACAAATTATTAGTCACATAAGTTACTGATACAATAAGTTGATAATTAGAGGTATTTGGAAAAAATATGGAACTATATTTATGTATAAGCAAAACAATTATTTGTGTACATTTATAAATAATAAAAACAAAATATTTAAATATTTTAACATTTATCATTATTATGCTGTAGACAGGTATTACCTCATAACTATGGATTTTAGAAAATAATGTCTTTATCTATGAAGCTCAACAGATATAGTTAATTGATACATTTAAAGGTTATCCTCAACTAAAAATATATAGTTTGTATGTATAGATGAACATTGTTTGACTGGATATTTCTATCATAGACGGTAAAAATGTAGTGCAGCATTAATGAATTCCATATTAATATATTTCACACTGCATACCTAAATATTTATCTCTTAAAAATAATAAAACTATTATCAAAAACTCAAAATAACGAATGTGGTTGTAATTTGTTAAATGGTTAATAAACTAGATATTGAAAGTATATTATTAATACATTTAGATAATTCTATCAGTAATTTAAAAAAGAAAAATAATAAAATAGTTATTAAAACTTAGAATATTTATATATTTAACTTTAAACAGTTTAAAGTAAATTATTCATCAGTTACTGCTACTAAATAATGTAAGCAATAGTAAACATTACATATTTCATACAAATTATTCATATTTTTTCTTATTATTATTGAATTATTAATATTAAAATTCATACCTTGAACATATATTATTTTTTTATAAATTATAAAAACATTTTAAATTGTAGAATATTATTTACTCATAGAAAAATTATAATGTCCAATGTATGGTATGTACATTATGATGTAATATTATTAAATTTATTAATTAAAAATATCTATAAGAAGTTTCATTAATTTATAATATTATTGGATTCAGAAACATATTAATTAATTATGTGAAATTCATTCATATCCTTCAACCTTCATATCGGTTAAGCCCAGTTCTTCGTTTTGTTCATCAGTTCTATCAAACTTTGAAATTGTTAACTTAGGGTCCAAATCTGGAGGGGTTAAGCTCTGAAAAATAAAGTTATATAATTTAATGTCTTACATACTATACATTTCTAATTTGAGAAAATTTAGCTTTTTTAAATGTATATATATAATTTTAAAAATAACTTTAAACTAAAACTTTTTTGAAAACTAACTTTGAAAATCATTTGTTACTAAAAAAATGTATATTAACTTGTATATTATATACTATTAATAGAATTTTTGTCAACTATTTCTGTGTATACTTTTACTTGTAATCTTAAATAAAATCTTACCAAATTTGTCTTTATTATTTATTAGAAACCACTTTTTTTTTGATTTTCAAATCAATTCTCATTATAATATTTTTAATTAAAATATAATTCAAATTATCATTTAAGTCAATGTAAATATTATGAAATTAAGATTAATAAGAAATATCGTACAAATAATAAAACAAAAAAAATTGTGGGGCAATTTTTAGAAATCAAAGAGTCAATATTTACCTGAATATAACTATTTCCAGCAGGATCTTCCAAAATAATATCCACAGGCATTTTACATGTTTTAATGTTGGTTAATTTTTCTAAAAATTTATTTGTTTTATCAAGAACATCTCCTGAATTACTGTCCCCTCCATAAAATGCTGTAGCAGTATCTTTTAACTGTTCATATAAAGATGTAAGAAGGCCTTCAATAGTAGTAAAACGACCACTTAATGAAAGTGCACCTGCTTCAAAATCCAACTGAGGAATACGAAGACAGCAAGTTTCAGACTGAAAAATAAATAAATCTATCATAATATATATTCATTTAAAACAGTGATATAATTAATTAATTACCTTCAGTATGTCTCTATTTAAATCTTCTGGAGATGAAACTTTAACACTTATTCTCACTCCTTGTTTTTCAACACCACCACCTGGTTTTACTTCATTAGTACGATAACCACATTCTTCACATGTAGTAGCCATAATTACAACTTGTTTGAAGTATGGAATATCTATAAATATTATTAAATTATAATAGGTTTTTTATAATTGATTATTGAAAAATTAATAGTAATTACCAGTCACTTTCATATTAGTTTCACATATTGCTTGACAATTAGGGCATGGATTACTAAATTGTACAATTTCATCATTCATATTGTTAACAGATGAATCATTAAAACTTCCTAATGGTTTAATAATAGATTCAGAGTTGTTTTCAGCCGACAATCCAATCATTTCATTTTGGGCGCTATCACGAGTAAACACTTCAGTTTGCATTCTTGGATCATTTAGGGGTGCCATAGGATTTGACACAAATACATTTCCAGTTGCATCTTCAAATACCTATGAAAAGAATATTGTTAGTTCAAATTAAAAATAATAATAAAAATAATTACCATTGGCACAGGATTGCTAAGATTTATTATACCAATCAATCCATTGATTACAACATCCATTTTAGAGGCTAGATCAGGATGTGTTTGTTCAATTAATTTTTTCTGTTCACTTAAATTAGTCACCGTCTTAGAAAGAATTCCTTCAACTGTAGTTACTTGAGATCGTTGTGACATTGGTGGTATTTCAAAGTCTAAATCGATTATTTGTATACTTGTATAGTCAGTTGTTATTACATATCTATCCAAATCTTCTTTGTTTTCAACTTTTAAAGTCATGCGGACACCTTGTGTTTTTATTTCAATAGCAGGATCTAACTGATTATTTTGAAAATTGCAATGTGGACATTCAAATGATGATATTACTAATTCTTTGTAAAATGGTATACGTGTCAATAACAATCGTGTAGTACCCTAGAAAAAAAATACGACATAAATATAGATTATTTATTGTTAGTTTTAGTAGTAGTAGTTGTTTTATTTTATAATAAAATACAGAATTATATATATCTTGTAATGTTTTTAAAAGATGATTTACATGCTACGCTTAAAAATAAAACATTTAATCAATGTTAAATCATCGTTAATCGCGCTATGGTCAAAATGACCGCACTTTTTTTACATCTTTAATAGAACATTTACATTTATACTTCAATTTTTGATACTCATATAATATGAGTCAATAACGTTTTTAAAAGGTTTACTGAGCGTCGATGATTGTAATTTAAAATGTAAATAAATGTTTTATTTAAGACCTAAAAAAAAGCGCAGTCATCTCGACCATAGCGTCACTAACCCCAGGTTAATGAAGTTATTTGAACAGTTAAAGATTCATTCTTACATTTTATAAGTATATAGTAAGTTCATAAAATGACTAACTATTCATATTTGGTAAAGTATGATACAGCATTAATTAAAAACAGGTATCATAATATAATATTGTTTAAAAGTGATATGTATGTTTTATAGCAATTTATAATCATTTTTACACAAATAAAATTAAAACTATACTTTGGATATCTTTAAAAATGAGTACTATTTCACTTTTTGTAATGAAAATAACATTGTCATTACAGAGGCAGTATAATATGGTTAGCTTCTATTAACTCTTTGACTACAAGCAATGTAAGAGTTGCGGGTATTATGATACAACGGTTTAAGCACCGGTTGAATAATAAAATATATTCTCAATTGTTTAATTTCCATACTGATCATCTGACGGGCGATATTGATTAAAAAAGACGTTAATCGGCCGTACTTACATTCTTTCCGCAGTTGAAACATAGGCTCTCGATCACATTTACTTCCAACTGGTCTAAATCCAATTCTTGGAAGACGTTGGATTGGACATTTTTGGCTTCGGCCATAGCTGTTGGGTATGGTGAAATATTCTCTTAACGACAATGGACGCGGTAACAGTCACAGTTCTCGGAAGAGAGAAATAGTGAACATTTGGTAACGGAAAATACGATAGTAGGGAAAAATAAGATGTGATTATGGCACCGGATTGCGCGGATAATCGGAGGTGGATAAAATGATATCGGCGAGTCACTCAGCAGCAGACGGGTTTTAGAGTTAGGTTATAAGCAGAGAAACTATATGGATGTAATAGCGGATAAGCGTTGTTATCAGTACTACCATCGTTGTGTCCCAAAACAACCGAACTACGATAAAGAGTTGCGCGTTTTAGTCACGGTCGTGGTTACATTGTAGATAACGCGTGTACGCCGATCGATCGATGACAACCGTGACAAAGCTATTGTTGGTGGTAAGTCATACTATTAATGAAATTATCATTTATAATGGTGACACATAAACATCGAAAATTAATACGTATTATATATTGTAATTGCCGACTGTCTTTCTTTTCGTATACTCGTTCTTGATGGTGATGTATAATATAAACATAAGTCACCGGTAGCATGGCCGGCTGAAGGGCGACGCAATTGGTGCAACTATACTAGGGCTAGGGCTTATGCCAGCTATTGAATGGACTTGGTTGGAACATAATCTTTGATGAAAAAATCAAGATTTTCAGTAGAAAAAGCCAGAAAAAATGTTTATAATAATTATTTAATTGTTTTATAGGTATGTTTGCATTTTACTAAGGTTGGTTATTACAGTGCTCGAAGTGACGGGGTGATAATGAGGGATAGCATCCCTTTACTTTTTTGTATTTACAGTTTTCATCCCTCTACTTGTTTTGTCTAGAATAACGCATTCCTCCTAAGACTTGTATTTTAAAATGATATGCTTATCATTTTTATATTTATATATCAGACATTTTTTTTTCAGTGAAAATAATTTTTTTTAACATTCAGGCCCGGGCGCCCGGCTTATCGTGTTGTTTAGTATAAGCCGTTTCGCAACTCGTATTATACTCGTATTTAGAGCCACGGACTAAGATAATATACTTTATGTGAACTATAAAAAAAAATATATATATATTATAGGTACACAAGGTGCGAAGAATGTTATGATGATATCAGAATTATAAGGCATCCCTCCACTTATCTTGAGCCATTTCGACCACTGGTTATTAAATTTTATTGATTGTTAAATAAAGATGATTAAAAAATTTTATAATTTTATATTATATTTTTTAATTCATTGGGTTCAATAAAATGTGTATAAAAGTAATTCCTTGGAGAGGGGTGAAAACCGAACGGCCTACTGTCCAACTTTCATCTTCTTTCTTATTTTGAATTTACAATTAAATGCACTACCTAGGTAATTTGAGACAGACGAACTGATTTTTTGTAGATCCTTTTTTTATTAACTGTGTTTTTTTTTAAATATTATGCCATCGTTATATATTATTGACAAATAATTATACGGAGGTAAGCACATTAACTGTGGGGATACAACATTTATTCTTATAGTACTTAAGATACATACTTTATGCAAACGTAAAATAATTCTCCATGACGCATACAATTTAAACTAAATGATGACAAGAGATATTTCAGAATGCTACAAACACAGATATATATACATAAATCTGTAGCTGCAAGTGTCTCATAGTCTTTAAAAGTCGGCATCCTTACTGGTTTATACAACATTGATAAATACTACGCTTTTATTTCACCCATCTACATAATGTTTATTCGTAATCTACATTATGAATTATAACTAAGTATCAGAATTTAATATTTTTTGAACCAGAAAAGTACGCGAATAATTTTTAAATAAAAACGAATGAATTTGCATTAAAACTGAAAACAACAAAGTAGGCGTTAATTTTTTTAATTATGTTGAACATTTAAAAATTAAATTATTAAATTAAATATTAAAGTTTAATATTTTACTTATTAAAAAATTAACAATAAAGGTAGAAAATGTTGAGTCACAAAATTCAATCAATGTTAAGTATTTTGTTCAACACAAATACATTTTGCGCAAAGAAAAATATCGAAAAAATGAAATTTAATTTATACTTACCTTAAATCTAATTCAGACTTTGAGTTGAGAAAAAATCACAACAAAATATCATTCAATAGAAAATAATGCTAATCTTGTATTTTTTTAGTAAATTATCGTTAAAAAATTCATAAGTATAGAGATCAAGAACTTATTATTATATAATAATAATTATTAAAAATGTATTTAGGTTGTAACATTTTATCGTTTTTAGTAAGTTTTTTAGCATAATTCATAACTTTTGTATAGTGTCATGAAAAAGGTTCAAAAACAACCTTTTATAAGTTTCACTTTAATATACTTCAGTATTTCATAAAGTGTATTTTGTCAATAATTATAATATTAATTGAATTGAATGCCACCTCATGGAGCATTTGCTATAGATATTTATAATTGTAAATAATAAGTTGACAAGTAATAAAAAAACGAAGTTATAACATTTATAAATCCCTTGCTGGTTGTTCGTTTTGTAAACTACAAATTATATAGTTTGCAGGTTACATTATTATGTTCATTTTAAACCATTAAAATAAAAAAATACTATACATTTTTTGTAAATATAAATATACAGTATTATATTGAACACGAAACGTTAGTTCATAAATTATTTTGCCGAGTCCATAAGTTTTAAATGACATTCATTCTACTGTATTAACTAACTTTTCAGAATTTAATTAATACACTAACAAATTAGTAACAATTCATTTTTTTTTCATCGCCGTAGTTATAATTTCATTAATATTAAAACTATTTTTTTGTTATTTATGTTAAAAATCCTGTTAATTTTACTAATTAAATTATACAGTATATTATAAAAATTACTGTATTCAACTTGGAAAGAGTGAGTGACTACTGCAACCAATATGATTTTATTACTGCAGCATAAATAATTTAATATTGTAACCATAGAAGTTAACAATTTAAATTTTAATGATACAGTCAAGTAATAAAAGTTAAATAATTATTGAATAATTTGGTATTGTTGTATTTACTTATATAACACTGTTGGATATTTCTGTGTTATTCAATTTTGTAATCGTTTGATTTTATATTTTTTGTAGTTTACTATTATTGTTATCATGGATTAATTAAGCTGACTGTAAACATACGAATATATTCTACAGTCGGAATTTTTGCTTCATACCGAAAAACTAAAAAATTTTATTTTGTACATTTTCTTAAATGTATTGTTATAGACTGGAAGCATTATAACAGGTTGCAAATAATTGTTGGTATATGTTTTTGTATGTAAATAATTTAAATAAACCTAATAAATTAAGTTGGTATACAACCAATGCTATTGAATTGAAACATATCAAAAAATAAAAATAGCTAGGTACTCGTTTTATATATGTCGTAGGCATATAGTCAAATAACTGAATAACTGATAGAAAATATATTTAAATTTTTAAAATAATACAAAATGTTTTTTTATTATTTGCCTGACATGAAATAGGCATTTAACTAAATGTCTAGGCAGATAGTGAAATTGCATAAATATTAAATTCTTTGACAATATGCCTAGGCATTTAATAAAATGCCTGATTTGACTTTATGCCTACGATGTATATACTTCGTTGGCGTCAGTAGTTTGGCTGTGTGATTATTTTATTTCCATGTAATCAGTTATTTTTTATGTATAAATTATGATGACTATTATCAGTAATTAAATTATATTAGGTTATAATTGATACTTAAATTATATTTGGTTATTATTTTTATATAAATTACAATCGATATTAATTGGTACATTTAACAAATTTTCTTTAATTTTCCTAGTAAAAGGAAACAGAAACCAATTAAATTCAGTATATTTATGGCAACACAAAATTCGTTGATATTTATATTATTTCAATAGTGGTAAAAAAATGATTTTAAGCTATAAATATAAATATTTCAATTACAATAACATAAATCCGTGACCATAACGAGAACATTTTATATTTATGTTGTATTCATAAAATATTTTTTAATTAAATAATGTAATAATAATCCTGATTATAATTAATTTTCGATTATTTTTGATTATAACTAAAGTCAATTAATAATCAACATTTTCAAAATTTCAATAAATAAGTATCAATTATTTATACAGTATTAAAAATAATCGATATATCATGTAATCGATTAAAATGATCTATTAGGTAGGTATATAAAATAACCACGCAGCCCTATATTTCAGTTATATGATATTTTAAAGAATCGACGTAGGTATACAGAATTTAATACCACCGTTAGTTATAGTAATTAACTAACTTAATTAAACCAAAAAATTTTTTTTGTTTCATGGTCCTTTAAAAAAAATACAAATGTACATACAAATGATAATAATAATTAACAACTATAAATATGTACATTATATTTGAATGGTTGGGTTAAAATGTCATAAGAGACTTAAGTCTTTTCCAATTATATTTTCAATCAACTAGGTAACTTATATAATGAAGGACTAAAAAATAAACTCGCAGCTTAAAAGATCGAAAAAATAGTTGTCTTGCTCCTATAAAAAAAAAACTTAAAATAAGAACTTAAAATAGAATTACTTACTCGTAAAATAAAATTAAGATACTTAAGATAAAATAATACAATAAATAATAAATTCTATATTTTATGACTGTTTGATTTGTTGATATTTACTGAAACAGTAAAAATAAAACACAAATAGTTATATATCTGTATATGATTAATTAATATTAATAATTAAATCATGCCGGTCTCTAAATAATTTTAAATTAAAATCTAGTAATGACAAAACATTATATATTTAATATTTATACCAAATAGTTTTTTGAAAAAATAGATTAATTTAATAAAACTATATTAACAATCATTTGAAAATTGTATGTAAGTTTAGTTGTTATAATAGAAATAATTTTTCCTATGATCATTTATCAATTTTCAATATTTTAATTTATCTATATAAAACATAATTTATATGTTATAAGAAATATTTAGTTTTAAAATTCGTATATACTTTGCAATAAGTTATTTGGCACGAGTTGACTATAACTAAATTTAATTATTTTTCCTATCATGGCCACTACAGTACTACTATAGTCATTTAATTATTACCTTCATTGTCCTAATAATAGTACATACAGACATACAAGTATATAAATCGTTCGTCATTGTTTTTTGTTAAGATTCAGTGCGGGTTTTTGTCGGTATAATACGTTTTAATCAGACTCATTGTTTAAGCGAAAT